ACCTAACTGAAATACTGCAATATCGGAAGCCAATATAATTCATTCAATAGATTTACTCTTGATTTGTGAGTACCAACAGGACGAAAAGGTCCCTCGATGCAAAACAACTGGTAATTTAGATATCGGTATCACAATGACTCCTCGCTACGTTTGTTTCCTAAATGGCGAAATTGAGGGCGAACTTCAACTTGCCATAATCTGATACCGGGTCCATAAACTCTATTGAAGTTTATGGAGCAAGATATAAATCAATAGCTGAAGTGCAAAACCACGTATCTCCATTGCTGTGTTTCAAAATCTCGAATCCTTTTTTATTTTTTCGACGAGAAACACGTCAAGTGTTTAACTTGAAATTTTTATTGGATTCTCCTAATAAAGAAGAAACATTAGGGAATATGTTTTTAGAAATTAAATTGACTAGTTTCTTAATGAAAAAATAAAGTATGACAGGAAGTCTGCAACGTTGCAAATGGAGGTAAGTCGTTTCGCACTTTGGCCATCGAAATGTATTTTCCGAACATACAACTATTCGCGCTCTCCGGTATGTTTGTTGCCTACTCGGTGGAATAAAAGGCGAACTTTAACTTTACGATATTTGCCAATAGGTTTAATCACTGTTTAATGGTTTTATCCAGGTTTCAGGAGCTAGATATTTGTGCACGTTTCGAATAAACGTCTACCACGTTAACTAAAGATTTTAAGCACAATTTGGCAGCATTCGCGACAGTTAGCTGCCCCTCGGGATGACCCAAGGGCGCGGGGCGGGGGTGGTGACTGGCGCTCTTGGAGTCGCGAGCAATCGTCCGCCCACGCTTCGAGAGATGGTGATCAAGATGTAATTGCGACATACACAGATACCACTTTGATTGCCATTCTTGTCAACTTTCGATTAAGTCTGTTTGGGTTCCATTACACCCGGCTAAGTCTGACCTATTTGATCGGTCACCCTACCCCCCTTCGAAGCTTTGACTCATTTGTTCGTAAGCTCTGGATTAAGGTCCTGTTACTGTGTCATCAGGAAATTGAAACTGTTTGCAGCTAGGTTTTTGCACCAGTTTCAGCTAAAAGCATGTTGATTTAGTTTAGATAAAGTTAGACGTCAGTTGCGAATTTTTGATGGAAAAGGGCTACTTCGATATTTTCTCTTTACGTCTTGAAAATTCTAAACCATCTCGCTAAGTAATATAGAATATATACTTGAAAAGACAAGTAAAGCGCTTTTAACCGGTTAAAAACATCAGTTAATCGATTTTATTTTGCTTTTGCTAAAGCAGTGAAATCCCTTGATACAAATATCATATTTCGAACGTATCAGTAAGTAATCTGCAATTTTTCAAGTACGGAGATCTCTAAAGTACCCATCTCAATTGTACTCATAAATTAAAAATCAATTGGGCTCCTCTTAAGACCGCTCTTTAAAAGTACAAACATTAATTCAATTATCAAGTAGGTACCACTACTACTACCACCAAAGTCAATGAGGCGCCTTGAAAAAAAGGAGACAAAGAAGATAGTAAAAACTTCCTTCCGAGCTGGAGTTTTCCTCTCAAAAAATTGATAACAGGAAAATGAAGCGGGGCAAAAATCGTCACGTGGGTGGCATGAAACATGTGACAATTTTGAAAGTGGAACATAGCGGTAGGATGTAACACGTTTGACACAATGTGCTTGTAGAGGGGGAAACGTGTGTCTCTCGAAATTATTGCCACTTACTTCCAAAACTTATTCAAATCGAAAATTAATAACCAGGATTACTGCTGGTTTGGAGAGTTTCAGTAATTTGCATATAGGCGGTGCGTAAGTCGGCAATCACATATCTCGTTTACGGTGTCTGAACATCTCCGCCTCTATGTTATTTTTCTAAAGGAGAACAAAATGTCAGCATTCCTTGGAGTTTTTGCAGAATTTTCTTCGCACAGAGAAGAAAAATGACGGCAGTTTTAAAGAATTACCGTTGAGTAGTTTTCCGTTTAAAAAATTAAGTATGACAGGAAGTCTGCGACGTTGCAAACTGAGTTATGTGATTGCCGACTTACACCGTCGAGATGTGTTATATAAAGAGCTTTTATCGTGCCATTTTTCCTGCTCAAGTAAACTTTTATTTCCACACTTTTTGAGCAATGAAAGCAAAACAATTTTGACTTGGCGGGAAAATGTAAAATCAATACGGTGAAGCAACATGACCTGCCGCAGGAAAAGGATCGTCGTTCGAGAAAACTCAAAATTAGATATTGATACAAGAACATAAAATTAATTATTTCATAATCTTTTTACATTGGTTTAAAGGAAAACAATTATGCATAATAAAAGAGAGACAATAAATAATTACAAAAATGAATGTAAGAACTTGTAAAACATAAGAATAAACATTGGAACAAACATTGGAATTGTTTAACCGGATGATTGTCCGGCTGTGAACGTAAAAAGCCTTCATTTTTGAGGGTATGCAATACGGACATCCTTCGAGTTCGAATAGTTGTATCCAGGCGTTGTCATTCATGGAATACTCGTCGTAACGTTAAACGAGACACACGTTGCCCTTTCTAAGACAAGCAGAGGATATGAAATAGGTATTTACTTTAATCGTTTCTTTTTAAAATCCTAAAAATGTCAAACTGCATGTCATAAATGTAAAATGTCAAATGGAATTACGACACAGTTGGAAGTTTACAGTTATCAAAAGCGCAGTTTAAAGAAGAGTAATTAAGTAAATCTCTAAGTTACCATGTTTAGGACATTGAAGTGCCAAACCACGATGCAATTTTCCGGTCTTATTTGTAGACACAAAAAGGGACAAAATCGTACTTAATTTCATCTTTGGGCCACTGAAGAGAGTTTTTCATCAAGATCGAATATTCTAATGATCCATCGATCAAACTTGACGAAAGCATCTCTACTAAAAATGTTGGCACTTTGGACTAAGGTCCCTATTTCTGTGAACGATCACAAATGTAGACATATGTAAGGAGATTCAATGAAAAATCAGCCAGCATGATGATAAGCTGAGTCTTTTTTCGCGGAGCTTCAAAAATTTGCAGTCTACCCCAAGATTGCTTCTAACAACTAGCAGGACTCAGCACACTGTATCCAATAAGTAAACCACCAACAAGATCGCAGGAAGACTGTATTCTATATGCGCGAGCTAAAATTCGATCGTCCTTCGGAAATATTAGGAGCCTGAAAAATATCAAAATCGGTGTTTTTCGAATAGCGCTGAATGACTAGATTACATCTGATATATTGTGGAAGGGGGCTAGGGGGTAAAAAGCTCGAAGGTCCCACCGAGACTCGAACTCGGATCGCTGGATTCAGAGTCCAGAGTGCTAACCATTACACCATGGAACCTCGCTGTAGCGGGATGCTGAGTTCATCGGATTCAAGCGCGTTTGGGCTTTATGAGACTCACATAGAAAATAAAGAGGAAAACCCCCTTTGAAGTGATGATACTGGAAGATTGCCAGACAATGTCATAGGAACATTCCTGAGTATTGCATGCGGGAGTAGTCGCATTGTTTCACCAATTAATAATGTCTAGCAATCACGTGGAAGTGTGACAACTGGACGTATTTCTGGCAAACAAAACTATGTGGATTATGACGTGAGCCCTGTTATGCATATATTCTTGAGGGTGTCAGGTCTCATGTCCTAATGCACATAGTTCCGTTTGGCAGGAATACGTTCAACTGTACAACAGTGTAAAGTCAACTGTAATTTTCCTTATTCGGCTGTACTTTTAAAAAGATTTAGGTAAATACATTTACGTACAATTTTTTTCATTCTTTTTAGCAGCACAAAAAAAAAAAAATAACACGTAAGGCCAGTGTTAGGTTCTCGAGGGAAAATTTTAATTCACTCAATTTTGCCGTGACTTAAGTTTAAATCTTGAAAACATGAAAATAAAACCACGCGAAACCATAGACTCCTGCGACTCACTCCTGCTCAAAAAAGTACTCAAGTAACATAGACTACGGTAAATTGCAATTACACGGTTAGATAAAATCAGTGCTATGCTTGACAACATCGAAGTGCTGTGTATGTTGCATATCTACTGATTGAAGGGGCCTCTTATCGAAATGAATTGCAATAAAATTGAATTAAGTTGCATTTATTGCTAATTAGGTACTTGTCTTTCTCACACGTGCAACTTACCATTGTTTAAATTGGCATTCATTGACCTACTTGGAAGGATTCTATTCAAACATCACAGTGCAAGTTGGCTCGTTTCTTGACATTACTTCTGCCGAGAGGAAATAGGAGATGAACCTACATTGCACTTGGTTCCCTCCTCTTCAATGATTTTATTTTCCTTTATGCAAGCGAGAGGAACCAAATTATTAAAAAGTTTAAAAAAAGTAATGATGTTTGCGACGAATTTTGCTTTTTTAATCAGGAATAAACAAATAAACCCCGTAATTATTAAAATTTTGGAACAAAGACTTTCCTTCGTGAAAAATAAGAAAGAAAAACCATCAAGCAGGTTTCTGTCCTCCGCAAAACTTGGTTCCTCAGTTCCTTCTCATAAATCTCGTTCAAATATTTCCTCCTATTTTGCGAATAACACTATCTGCAAATCCGCAAAATTATGCCAATCAGGTAACGCTTCTTCAAAGAGTATTATTTGTTCGCCCCATGCCAGTGTTTGTTGTTGACCGAATCTTTTTAGGTCATGAATCAACACTGACTTGCAGGTAGCTGTAAACATTGACGTCCAATGCTACTCAGGCACCTACGAGTACTGAATTTCGCCCTTGCGTATTGTGACTACCGGACGCAAATCCTCGGTACTCGGAGGTGCAATAAAAGCATTAGTCGAAGTAAACAAAACCCCAATAAAATCGGAAATCTCTCAAGAAGCTCGGAGGAAACACTCGAGGAAGACTCCGGGATTGGTCGATCGATCAGGTGAGAAAAATAAGGATGGAATCTGAACGAAACAATAGATCGTATAAAAGACTATTCATTGGAATTATTGTTATTAATTTTGCATAATTAGAGCATTGTGCTGGTGTGTGTGTCGGGTTCCAGATCGCGAATTTCATGTACATTCGACTTACTTAGGCGATCCACGTCCAATGTTTAGTTTCATTCAAAATATATTTAAATGTTTAATGTCACGATGAAGGTGTTGAAACATAATCTGTGGTTGAGCCTCTTGCTCCTGACGTTGAGCTACTGTTCTTCGTTAAAAATGGCTGACATTGTAAGTTTCGATTTTTTTCATCATTAAGAACGTCCTAGTGCCCCTGCTAAAAATGACGAGTATAGGCTATTAAGAATTCGCCAACTCACATGAGAAGAACTTCCTACTTATATGAGTAGAAATCCTACTCATATGAGAAGAAATTCTACTCATGAGAGTAGAAAAGGTCAACTCATAGAAGTTCAATTTTTTTCATTTTTCAGAAGTGCTGCTTCTGACCGGGAGATACTGGCATGGCGTGTAAATTTGAAAAAATAAAACATTTTGTTCTTCTGATTTTTTTGATGCGGTGACAAGTTTCTAAGATATCGGACATGGTAGATTCAACGCTGAACTCATGTGAGTTGAATTCTCTAGTCATAGAGGTTGGCGAAAACTGGATGGAGAAATTCTACGCATATGAGTTCTACGCTCTATTCGCATAAGATGAAATTCCATTCATAAAAGTTGAAATTCCATTCATATGACTTTGATTTTCTACTCATTTGTACTCCCAATTTTTAGCAGGGATGGCTATCTTGCATTAATAGGTTCATAATTCTAAGGGTGGGAAAATCTTCGGAGGATACATGATTAATAGTGTTGGGCAAAAAATATGAATTCATTAAGTAATTTTTGTACTTTTTATGGAAATATTTGGAGCTGCTCTCAGGGCCGGATTTACCTACTTGCCGTCCATGGGCCGCCTGTATTTTGCCGCCCCTTCTCATTCGTTTTGAAACATCGATACAAACCATCAAGTGCACGTGCCGGAGGAGGAGGGGTGCATAAGACGCGTTTACTCGTGTTGGGCACATTTTTTGTGAAAGCCCTGTCAACACTAGCAAAAGTTCACGGAACTTTGCGCAAAAGTTAAGTTCCATGAACCTATCTCTGTGTGGACGAGGCCTTTCATTTATAAGAGAAGAACGTAAAAATTATGAAAGAATAAACATGAATGTGGTTTAATAATTTTAATTTCCGCCATCGCCATCGCGCCAACCGCACTGTTATGTGTTTGGCGCAATGCGTGAAGTATTCCCACAGTTTTTGTAAGCGCTAGAGGTGTCGTCAGCTAAGTCTCATGATCGTATCGTAAAGAATCGAATGATTTCTGTGTGGCTAAAAATTAAAGTGTTACAAGGTTTGAAAGTATTTAAAAACTTATCTAAGCTTGTGTTCTTGCTTCTGAGAGAGTCAGATGTTTTCATGTGGATAGTAGTGACGCGAAAACGCCTGCAAACCGAAAGTAAACAACCGTCGACTTAGCTGATGACACCTTTGCGTGTCACGCCGACCGCTGCTGACCGCACTACGTTTGACGCAACGCGTGAAGTATTCATGGAGTCTTGTAGGCGCTAAATGTGTCTCATGCTGACCGGCGCGGCGCGCCGAGGGATTCTCCTTTCCATCTCTAGTCCTCGTCATCATTGCTCTCTGCGCCGTGCCGCACCAGGCATAATTGCGTGTTTGGTTTCTCTCTCAACTAGACTAATGAAAGGCGCCGTCTCTTGTATCCTCTATAGATGAACAAATTAAAAATTACCATACTTTAACTCTCAGGAAATGAGAGATTTTTTCGCCTTTTCTCGTTTGTAATTTTTTTTTCTGAATCACATTTTTTCTTGATACCTACATTTGATAAAATTACAACATTTGCCGCTCCCTTTTGCCGCCGTAGGCCGCGGCCCATGTGGCCACCCCCTAAATCCAGCCCTGGCTGCTCTCCCTTTAAACTCGGAACTTTTCCCTTTCTTATATTTATTCTTCTTACGTAGTTCGTCACTCTGATTTAACTCTACCCCAGCCCCCTCTTTTACTGTCGCCCTCGAGAAGTTAAGCGCTTCACAATACGTTTTCTCAAATTGCACAATAGAAAATGGTCGAAGATATACTGTAAACGCCATTAGAATTATTCTAAACGATGTAAGAAACAAAAAATCTTCATATTTAAAAATTCGGCGGTAAGTAAAATTAAAAGGTGTTAACATGTTTGTTTATTATTTACAGCGCAGAAAAATTGAATTGACGTCAGCCCATGGATTAAGATGTAAGTTTTAATTTATCACTTTTACAAAAAAAAGAGAGAGATTTCCAAAGTCTGGCTTAATCTTTACTAATTCTTCAAAACTATTTACAGAAAACCAAATGGCTATCGGCTTCTCCTCAGATTTTTGAAGATCTGAATTGATCGGCAATCCAGAAATATGAATTATCTGTTCATGAATTAGCACTAACTCTTCTGCTTAGAACAACCCACTGGAAAATTTTGTTTACCCAACAGTTTCGTAGTCGAAGTAAATCTCATGGACCTAGTCCATCAAGAAACATCCACCGACAGTTAAAACAACTTAAGAAATAATTCAAGAAAAATAGTTTGAGGCAACAGCTATTTCTGTCGAAATAAAGCTTTGTCCTTTTTTTCAAGAAGGACAGAGTATCAAGAGAAAGTATTAAGAGGCAGGATGGACATTTTCTTGGATTGGAAAGCTTACCCATGAGGTACTTTAAGTCTTTCTATTTCCTGCAAGTGTATCTTTCATGTTCTTTACGCTTTTAAAAAATTTGACAGAAATTTTTTCTCTGAAAAAAAGGTGGTTTTACATGCTACTTGGGTGCTGCGCACTGCTCAGACCCTTAATGTCACTAAGAACATGGCTCGGTCTTTTGCCGAAGAATGACCAATGTTTGCTTTCCCGAGAAAAAATTCCAGAGATTTATTGTCTGTTTCCTCACTACACGTTACAAATAGGGATCTTTTCCTTTTTTCCAAAGCTGATGGGGAGAGCTGTGATAGGCCTTGCAATGGTTCGACCAGAACCTGCCACTTTTCTTTTCACGTCACGGAGGAGGTCAGCATGAGTATTTTGTGCGGCGATTGTCCGTTCGAGCAGAAGGATTGCTACGCACGAGGGTGCGTAACTGCTGGAGGCTACGTGCGTCGAATTGTAACCATCAACAGTCAAGTTCCCGGTCCACCGATCCACGTACGTCAAATACAAACTATGTTGATATTGTTGATGTTGTCAATAAATTGTGATATTTATCGACTCATAGTGAATAACGATTATATAAATACACGGTAAAACTTGAAATATATCATGAATCATGTAATATTGAAATCGTGTTCCCAAGTGGCAATGATCACAAGAAGTTGCGATTTGATCGGAGAATGTATCGCAATTTTATTAACGTTAATTTATTTGTAATATGATCGAGCGAAAAATCGTGACCAAGTGAGATGAAATTTCGATGTACTCGATTTATTTCTAATATTATCGGTTAAAAAATTGGGATGAGTTTCGATCTCATAAACTTAAATTTGGTTATAGGACATTCCGTCGACGATTTTTTGTCCGCGCACCTGTTTTTTCCACGCGAATTTACGTCCACGCGTTTTTTCGGCACAGGAGTTTTGGTCCACGTGCCAGTTGAGACCCAAAGCTAATTGGCCCACATGTAAATACAAACGACAATTGCTCACGACGTTTTTGGATGAAAATGTATAATGTCTTGCAATAATGAGAGTTTGCTTGTTTTTTTGATTTGTCTGTTTGGTCCAACGGAGAATAATATACAGTTGAGAGATTTGGTAAAAATGGGGGAGCGTCAATTCCATGAGACAAAATTCACTAAAACTCTCTACACATCTTTGGTCTAACAGGACTTAATTATCTTTCAAGAAATTCCCACCTTGTTATACCTGAACCGGATAAACCTCTACATTTGCCTCACCTAGAGGCTCTTAGATTTTTCCTGTGTACGATGAGTATCTTGATTTATTTTGCGAGGAAAGATCTTTACTTTTAAAGGATGCCTATCATTCTTGATTCGTTCATTTTCGTATTAATACTGTGCAACACCTCTGTTGTGAAATAGTTGCGACGGACGATTGGCGCCTACAAACCTAAGTGGATACTTCAAGCATTGTGCAATGCGTGAAGTATCCACTTAGGTTTGTGGGCGCCAGTGAGCCTCTCGCGCTGGCAGCACGCCGCTCCGCTCTGTTAGGCTGTAATATTTATACTTGCATGGTCAGCGTTTTTAACTCATGATTTTGAAATGTTTGCGCACTCTGCATTGATTATTCTCATTTAAATTGATGGGGAAAAAATATGTATCAAATTATCAAAGGAGAATAATAATATAATGTGTGTTTTTTAAATATTGGTGGTTCCGTGTCAAATTTAATGATTTCCAAAGCACTTTAATTTTTTCTTTTACATTTTGTGCTTTTATTGTGCTGCAGCGAGGTGTGCGCGCGACCAAATGCTCTTTGACGTATTTGACTCGAAAAGATCGATGTCCAAATGAGTTAAAACTAAAGATTGCGTGCTTCTTGGTTTTTTTCCTCTTTTATTCATTTTTGCAGTTTTTGTTGGCACCACTGTGGCTGATTGAGATTAATGTCGCCTGGAAAAGGTTTTACAAATATGTGTCACGTTTTAAAAATATGAATGTTTTTAAAATGAAGTACTAATTGCGTAAAGAAAAAATTAAAAAATAAAAAGAAAGTACCTATGCATATATAAGGTATATTGTACATCGAATATTTTAAGGATAGAAATAATACCAAATATTCACCAATGACAATTTAAAAAGATGATTCAAAAGGAGATAGTAATAACATTTCATTTAGAAAATGAGCAACCATAACAGCACCTCCTTCCCTCTCAATTTCTCATTTCCATATTGTCAACATAATTTTACCGACAAAAACCGACTAAAATATAACGCTTGGACCAAGTCACGTTGCTTATTTTACGTGTGAGCGTAAACTACTGGACAAAAAAGGTGCTGACAAAAAATCGTTGACAAAACGCCCTGAAACCCTTAAATTGAATCAATGAGAACGAAAACACACCAACTCGGAAAAATGAAAATAATCAAGACACACACACAACTGCGGAATAGGTGGAGAAGTTATTAGTTTAAGAAAAATATTTATGCCGTCGAAAGACAAGCACTTATGGACACTTTAAAGGTCCAAGTTGGAACAGATGCGCTAAGACCTTCATGTAAATTAACTGTCTTTGATGGAAATTAAGCATTTTCGAGTTACCGAGGTGGTGTGTTTTCGTTCTCACTGATTCGATTGAAATCGCAATTTTATAGACGTTATTTTATTTGCAATATTATCGAGCAAAAATCGTGACAAATTTAGATAAGATTTTGGTTTCACTGTAGACGAATTTATAGAGATAAAATTACGACATAATTGAGGACCATCGCTCGGATGTTGATGATCCTGGAAGTTTTATTGCCAAAAAGTCGTAAAAAAATTGTAACCAAATTTCGAAATATCACGATTTTCCCGTTGAAAAATGCTACTTGGGTATAGGTGTGATAAATTGTTTTCAATTAATTCTTCATTCAATCAACATTAGGAGTTTTTAGGTGTACTTCGCGATGGATTGAGCCAGGGTACCTACAGTCATGGACAATTTTTTTTAAGTGGTAGTATATTCATTCCAGGTATGTGAAGGTGACACAATAAAAGTTGATGTCTACAATCATATGGCGTCTGAATCCACGACCATTCACTGGCATGGATTGAGGCAGTTGGGAAGTCCGTACATGGATGGTGTGCCTTTCGTCACTCAATGCCCCATACTCCCGAACAACCATTTCACCTACTCGTTTTTAGCGGAGCCGGCAGGCACGCATATGTACCACGGGCATACAGGTTGGTTGGATCAAAAAAAGCGGAAATTAATTATTGCAGATTTTTCAGGTGCATTACTATTCCTCCTGGTAAACTGCGTTTGAAGTGAGAGGAGATAAAATTGCGTGGTTGAAAATGCTCACAATGACGAAAATTTTCAGCGATATGCAACTATTTGTTTGGCCAACGGTAGAGGCAGATCCGTTTCCTTCTCTTCTAGGAAGCACTTTTTTTTAAAAAAAAAGCGTAAAAAAAATTGAAGGATACTCAAAACAAACTGCAAAAAACTAGTGTAACGCCCTCTGTTTCAACTCCTCGATCTTATTTCTAGATAAATAAATAAAATAGAAGATTCCACTACAAAAATTGAGAAGGCGTGCGAATTCTTCTGGGTATCGTTACTTGCTGCTTTGAAAATTATCGCCCCGTTAAGTCAAAAATTTTCAGAGCTCTTTTATAATGTGGAGAAACGGTTACCATAAGTTAACATAACTGCTGCAGTTTCAGAATCAGTTATTATCATATTTAAAAACAAAATCAAATAATTTTGCAGTATAATTTATGCACTGACAAATATTCTTATACGCAATAAGTATCCTTAGAAAACGAGATTTGCTATGTCCTTCCCTCCCACAAAACGTTGATACTACATTGGAAAAATGATATGTTCATAGCTAATGAAACACTGATATCCATTAATTTCACGTTTTACAGGATTTCAGGAGGCAGATGGTCTTTTCGGTGCTTTCATAATTCGCCGAAAAGAACCGACGGAGATCCAAAAACTGTACGACTTTGATCTTCCGGAACACACGGTTATTTTATGGCACTGGTATTCGCAGGTAAGAGACATTTATCTTCGTGATGGCCAATGTCACAAATGAGTTTTTCATTTTATAATGATGGGGTTCTCTTCAAAAATAAATTGTGTCAGGGAAACTAAAGCGTCGCCTTAACTTCAGAGTTAATTTATATGTTCTCCACAACATTTTCCAATGACGTGTGTTAATTTTTATAATTTTATGCTTTCAGTCGACGAGTCAAAAATTGCCAATAATACTTTTCCGAAATGGAACGGTCAACGGCTTGAACCTCATAATTAACGGCAAAGCATCAGGCGTTGAATACACGCGTGGTAATGAGACAGCGGTGACTCCACCGGAGATCTTCTTCGTGCAAAAAGTAAGTTCTTGAACTTATACACGATGAACTATAACTGAATGAATTTACGCTGTAAGAAACTACGTAAAACTGAATTAAATGAAAAAGAATTATGTGTCCAAATGGCACAGCTTAATGAAAATATTAAAGTAAAGTTGTACTTAACTTGACGTGATAAAATCGCAATTTTTACCGATATTTGCCCACGTTAATAAATTCCGATTTTAAGCATCCGGTAAAACGGGTTTCATGTATCATGAAGATAGGTACGCGTATTTACCCGGTTTTGAGAATGCTGAAATGATATCCATAAATAGTTGGCCAAATTTTCCTTTCCTTCCAAAATTGCCGCCATTTTTGTGGATCCCAACCGTCTCCAAATAAAATAGTGCCCATATACATTCTCTACAAAAATACTCTACGTAAAGGGGATCCGTTGACTATGTGATATTCAAAACAACTTATAGCCCATTTTAATTCTTAAGTAGTAACGCGGTTTCTTTCAAAACTCTCTACTCATAGATACTCATCTGTGCTTAGTACACCTGTTTTTTCTAATTAAATAATTCAATTTTTCAACGAATAATAATTAATAGTTACCCATTATCATTTTCAGGGGAACAGATACAGATTTCGGATAATTGTCAACGCTGCCATATACTGCCCTCTTCAACTATCGATAGAATCCCATACGTTTTCCGTATTTGCAAGTGAATCGGGTACTTTCGACCCCATCGAAGGTTTGCTCCATTGTTTACTTCACTGATTTAAAATTGCCAGTGCCACAAAAAAACAAACATTGAAACGCCCAGTCCATATTATGTCGATTCAATTTGAGATCTCTAAGGTTTTAAAATTGAAATCGACGCGTCTTCGAATCAGAAAGATAAATATGACACGTCATTGTTGCAATAAATAGTTAGAAGAACCATAAAATTGAGTTAGTTTTGTAATGAACCTCTGAATACACATAGCGACCGTATGGTGACTTTAACGAATATGAGGAGTGTCACCTAAATTTTACTGAGAAATTGGATCCATGAACAATATTTTTAGTTCACCCACTTAATTTCCCTACGCTACCCAATCTATGTGTAGTCATCTTAGATGCAACATCTTAATGCGAACAATGCAACTACCGTTTCAACGTCTTGGTGTGGTATCATTCGAAAATGAAGGAGATTTTTTCTGTTTAGACCGAAGTCCGACCAAAATGAAATCATACATCGTACAATAACGCATTAACTCTCTGCCTCATCATTTTTGCGTTCATTGGTTAACCTATTTTCCATGCTTTCAATGTTTGACTTCGCGTCAAATTTCTTGACCATGTATTGCTTCTTTAATATGAAAAATACAAAAATCAGTGGTCAGTCAAACTTTGAATATTTTTCGCTTTATTTGATAATGCCATTCAATGATGATGAAATGTTTAAGTTGTATAAAAGGTGCACGAACAGAAAAATGGACAAAATTTTAACCCGCGAGAGCCAAAAATATCTAGCGAACGATGGGGACACATCTACTAGTCACATGGTGTCAATAATTGTTTTACATTTCCTCAATTTTAGATGAGATTCTGATTTTGTTTACTCACATAGCATTAGTGGGTACAAGGTTTTAACTGACCAGCGCCCTTTGTTTTTTTTTCTAAAAAATTTCGCAATCAACGTAAGGTTTAATGTGGTAACTCTATGGTGACTTGAACGCAGATGAAGAAAAGTCAACTAAATTTTAATGTTAGCCTAGCAATGGATGCTTAAACAATTTTTCTGATTTACCTCCTAATTTTCTCACCCAATTATCAATCGACTATAGGCTTTGACATGTTTGAAAAGGGAGGGAGAGAAGGAAAGAAAGAGAGACAGATGCGTTATAGACGTATTATCGTTTGTCGCAATTCGTCGCTCCTATAACGCAAGGGTGTGTCTTTATTTCCATACTTTCCCTATTGCTGTCCATATAACTTCATGCCTTCGCGGCTCACATGGGTCCGTCCTAACGACACACAGTGGATCAAGTCAATCAGAGAGTTTGGACATGAACATTTTTTACTAAAACTGCAAATTTTGATGTTTAATTCGTCGCATTTTAAATTTTGAGAGGTGCCTCTAGAAAAAAATTTTACGAGGAGACCAGTGGAACCCTTTTTAAAATCTCAAAGTTTTGATTTAACGGAGTTATGAGCGTTAAAAGTTTCCAAATTTTGTCCGACCTCCCCTCTTGACTCGATCCACTGTGCTACAGAGGAACGAAGAATGCTCATCTTAAGGTCACGTGATATATGACCCTATGTCCTGTCTGTAATTGTTTTCTTCACTTTTCCAACATTCCAGTTGAATCAATGATGATAAACGCTGGAGAGAGGTATGACATCATTCTGCAGGCGGACCAAGAACCAGATTGTTACATCCTAGGAGTAAGGGGGATCGGTGACTGTTATAAAACGCAAGTGCGGCAAACTGCACTCGTCTGCTATAACACCGTCCAAATAGGTCCACGAATTTTCCAGAAAAATAGGAATTTCCCGTACGCATCTCAGCCAGGCCGTGTGAGTATTGAGTTTGACATTTGAAAATCAAGCGGAAAACTTGATCAGAGTAAAAAGAGGGTTATTCATATAGGCGAAAAATGTACCCAGCCCGGAATGTACGAAACTTTGTAGGATGATAGTACTATTTGAGAGAGGCTTATCCCTAGCTCCGTTTTTGCAGGAACCCCAGGGAAACAGCGTTGCCATTTTTTAAAGTCGCAACCTTCAAACATCCATAACTTTCGCAAAAATGCAGTTACAGAGCTCGTATTTATACCAAAAAACGCAAAAAATTACGTTCTATCGACCTATGCCAAAGAAATTTTAATTTCACTCCACTGTTGCCACGTTTCGGCCATTTTTTCAATTTTCGTAATTATTTAAGATCACGTTACCGCCTATAAAAGTGTTTGCAGTTGGTGAGGATTGAATAAAAACCCGTCGAAATTATTGTTCGTTCGATTCCGCATCCATTGATATATTATACTTTTCTGGGAGACTTAGGAAACACGAGTTAAAGCGATTTGAAAATTCGGTAACACGCCCGACCCCCGATATTGACGCTCGTTTCGGTACGTTTCGCGACTCGGTGTTAAAGCAAAACGCCTAAACCAAGCAAAATTCGAGAAGTCAGCTCATATTTTGCACTTTTTTGAAAATTTTACACGATTTTTAAGAATTCAAGTAGCGGCGGTGTTGCTGGTTTTCAATGAAAACCACCGCTGCGATCTCAATTTAAAGTAGTACTCATTTAATCACGTCCAGCTACATTTGTTAACCTAAACTGACCATTTGCAACATGGTGTTCACAACATTGCCTGATTTCCGTCGGAATTCGCGTAGAGGCGGGGTTGCCAGTTTTCATGGAAACCGCCACCGCAATCACAAAAAAAAATGTATTACCTATTTAATCACGTTCAGCCTTATTCTGTAGTTGGAATTGTTTATTTATCGAATCGATGGTTTCTGATATCTCTCTGCAACGGCGCACATTGGTTCCAGGGCCCGATCTAGGTGGCATTAATTAGAATATCACTGATGACGACATATTATATATGTTTCTAGGGGTTCTTTGGGTCGCTAATTATGAATTTGAAGTCAATTTGACTGTNTTTTTGCGAAAGTTATGGATGTTTGAAGGTTGCGACTTTAAAAAATGGCAACGCTGTTTCCCTGGGGTTCCTGCAAAAACGGAGCTAGGGATAAGCCTCTCTCAAATAGTACTATCATCCTACAAAGTTTCGTACATTCCGGGCTGGGTACATTTTTCGCCTGTATGAATAACCCTCTTTGCCCTTCAGATGTAACTTAAATCAACACGTACATCTTGAGCAACTATTTTAACGCCTCGGAGGTGCGTTTTGCCTGCCCCAGGATTTTGAAGGAGTTTTTTTTCAGTGTACGTGTTGTCGCAGGAGAGGAATTAGCATCGATTAATTATTGATAACACTGCCTAAATAGGATCTCTACTCATTTGAAACAAAAACTTTGGAATTCTTGAATCAATCTGAAATGTCTAAAATGCTAAAATTAACACGTATAACACATAAAAACTTGGCATGTGTTTTATCACATGTCAAGTAAATATTCTTGTGAAAATGAAGATGGAAAAAATATTGATTAACCACCAGTTGCAATGTGCTTTGGACGCAAAAACAGTGTTTCGACTGAATATATTTCAGGGGACGAGAGCGTTATTTAGGAAGGCGGGAAAGCTGCAATAGGCTGCACTTATTGGCAATCACTCATTTCTTCTTTGTACCTGATGAATTAATGACTCCAAAGTTTAACTTAAGAAAATTCTCCTCAAAATTTGTGTTTCTGTTTTATGGAATCCTGAGTCGTCCAGAAAAGTCGACAAATTTCATTTTATACATTTTTACGAAATTTTGCATCTCTCTGGGTAATCTCTCAATATCAACGAACTCCTGTAATGAGTATTTTGGCCCAAACACTTATTTTAAAAAAAATAGCTACAACTTATGATCATGGGAAGTAGGACATATAGACTGCATGTAGCAGAAAAAGAGGCATATTTGTGAGACATATCTTGGAATGGAGAGAAATAAGTTTGAGGTTTACTTCCTCCACAAAAACAAAATTTCATGTGAATATTTGCACACTAAGTATTCTTTTCGGACATGAACTTTTATTCCGGGGGGAGGGGGGGGGGATTAAAAGAGCTCAAGACTGTCCTGAGCGATTTTTCTAAAAAAAGAAATATTACTTGGCTCGATCCTTTTCGCTAAACGCTATTAAAGCTGATCGCACTTCACTCAAAAAAACTGAAGTTTTGATTTTTCCTCCGTTTTCCCCGTATAGTTGTTCAACGCTGCGGAAGAGATATCTGCTCACTGGGAGAATAATACAATCATCCCCTTGCACTCAGCTAACAGCACTTCACACGGATATTATGAAAATCCCTACCACGGTGAACCCGATCACGTATTCTATTTAAAAACAATGGTTAAACTTTATCGTAAGTGCTCTAATTTTAGTTTTTGTTGATTTCGTTTAAATTGTAGGTCTCTTTGGCTGCAAGAACATGCAAAATCAAGCCGATCAATTCCTCTACTTTTCAGTTTTGTAATTAATGTAGAGCACTGTAATAATTTAGTATGGCACATGCACGACAAAAAAATTGAGATTTTACCCTCCGATGTAATCACGTGCTGCAGTTACGAGCGGTGGCATGGCGTGCTTTGCGATATATCGATTGATTTGCCATTTAAATCTATGGAAAAGGATCGATTATCAAGGTGTTTGCAGCGAACACCTTAATAATTGATTCTTTACTACAGCTTCAAATGGAGCGATATCGATAATCGATCATTCACGCTCCGCCACTACTGAATACGAGGTGTCTGGTGTCCAGAGAGGCCCTCTCTTTACAGAGAGAAAGGACAGCTCATAACCCCTTATATTTCTGGCGACGCAATTTGCCTTGCACCAGCAACTATTCATTTAGCTGCCAACTTAATAGCGTTTTTTCGCTCATTGTGAAATTATGACCCAAAAGATTTATTTTTCTAAACTGACCTTGTGCATATGTAACTAACTTTCCAAAATGAACCAAACTGAATAATTTTTTAGAAGAAAGTGTATTTCTTTTTTTAGCGGAGCTACCGATACCTGGCCCGTTTCCTCAAATAAACGACATCGGATTTGAGTTTCCTACATCGAATCTCCTGAGGAAAAGTTCTGATAAGTTCTTTTGCAACTATTCTCGCATAGATTCTCAGTACTGTATTGGCCAATTCTGCGCATGCACACATGTTTTGAAAGTCAAAAGAAATTCGCTGGTGGAAATGGTTTTCTTTGACACAAGTAAGACCCTACTAACATGTAAACCGTGCTTAGTGCTTTTTAATGTAAATGTGCAGCGGAGTTAGCTCCAGAATGTGAATAGATAAAATTTGAATTCTTGTTAATTGAGGAGTTGAGTTTCCGGCTCAAGCATTGATAATTTCAGGAAGAAGTCAGTTACGGGAAAGAATCATTTCTGTAAAATTTGTGGAAAAATTAAATGCAATAAGTGTACATTCGTCTGCTTGAAGTATGTGAATATAGTTAATTAGTCATTTCACTGCACGAAAGTGCTTTAGTTAAGTGAAGAACCCTCTTACTTGGTTAGTTTAACGTCAGTGACAACATCACAAAGGGACAGAAGATTATTTGACAACTCCAACAGAGCGAAGGACAGCTCATAACTCCTTCCATTTTTGGTCACGCAATTTGCCTTGCACCAGCAACTGTTCAGCCTCTTTTCAAAGTAAGACCTGTTTTGGAGAATGGGCATCAGTGGTCGGAATCAATCGAAATGTTCAGAAATTCCCGTAATGTATGACGTGTTGTTTTTTAGTTTAGTTTTGGGCACACTAAGTGAAACCACTGTTAGGCATTTTTTAAGTAGATGCGGAAAATTCACAGTAGCTTTCAAGGAACGTTCGTATTTCAGCTTTCGCCTTTTCTAAAACTGAAAAGCAAAACTCGCGAGGACTTAAAAACTTCGCTGCAAAACGAAAATTAAAACTTCTTCCAATTTTAATTTCAGGTGGTGCTGATAGGAATCAAGACCACCCGTTCCATATCCATGGGCATTCTGTTCGGGTGGTAGCAAGCATGACCGTAGGGCCTCATTTAGATGAGGCTACTGTGAGGCAGATGAACACCAATGGGACCCTAAAAAAGGACCTCCATCGCGCTCCTCTCAAAGATACCTTTTCTGTACCCAACAAAGGCATCGTCGTTGTGCGACTCATCGCAGATAACCCAGGTGCCTACCTAATATTACCCCCAGTTATTCATAAAAATGTTTTTTAATCCATAATCTAGAGTGCTCAATATTCTGAGTTTAGGTATCGTTTAAATCTAAAGTTCTCCTTCGATTTTTCTGCATAGGCAACAATCTTACCCGGGAGCGCGAATAGTTGTCTTTTCGAAAAACAAAGATTTCTATCGCTCCATATAAGCTTCGATCGAACCGATAAATGGTAGGTATCACCTACCTAAGTTCGCCTTCAGTTTTTTTGCATGTGGGCAAAAAATGTACCATAGAGCGCGAATAGTTGTCTACTCGCGAAGTAGACATTGATCTCGGAACCAATTTTGTTCAGCCGCTAAATCCTGAATAACTAATGAATGATATCGTCCGCTTGATGTTCACGGAAAAAAATCTTTGGTGCTTATAGCCAGATAGTAGGTGACAATTACCATCTTGGATTCCCAGATTCGACCCCTGAGAACAATTTGGCTACGAGCACAAATGTATGATGGTTAGAAACCTCAAACCGCGATCAGGTAGGCGTTGACAACAAAGATGGTAATTCGCACCAACACTGCTGGGCAGGCGCGCCGTCCTCCGTGGACGTCCGCACAACGTTGCTGAGAAAGACCTTCAAAGATGGTAAACTGACCCATCCGGATGTTTAGTGTATCAATCATGAAAGCAAGGAGAACCTAATATTTTGTGTTTCTAGCCATAAAGAGGAGTATTTTCTTGTGAAACGTACAGCTAAAAAAATTGAATACAGAGGTGTGGAATGTTGGGGTTCGCAGCTAAGGGATGGTGGAAAAGGGTTAATCGCGTAAATAAATTTCGAAATCGAGTAAAATGAGACTCTAGTACTTATTGTGAGGTGCTGTAGTCGTATCCGACCTATCAAATGCTTTTGCCTACCGCGGGGATTGAACCTGGGAGTTATAACGCATTCTGTAGTTCAATGAGCCCACTTGACCGAGTAGCATCAACCAAAAACAAGATAGGTGAAGCGCAAGCGCACTCTTTGCGATGCAATGAGTCAACTTGATTGAGCAGTTTACCATCAATTTTGTCTCGGTGAACAGATTATTGTAATAGCTAGTAGCAACTTATTGAAAATGATTGATTTCCCTAAAGACGTTGTGGACAATACAATGCCGTTGGTTATTCTATCAATTTTTTCATGTATAGGTACCTACGGCACCAACTTTTAATTAACAAAACCAAGATGGTTATCCGCGCACAGTAATTTTTTCCGTGTTCGCCTTCAATTTCGCCGCATATGTAACCAACATACATTGGAGCGCGAATAGTTACATATTCGAAAAATAAACATTATTGGCTTATATTATCAGCTTTGATTATAGCCATAGACGATGTTGTGAACCTAGCGAAACTGGTAGATATCGCCTGTTTAAAGTTCACCCTAAATTTTCTCGTATCGACAATAATCATACGCATGTAGCAGTGATCGCGATAAGTTGCGATTTGATTGCGGAAGAATGTATCACGATTTTATCGACGTCGCTTTGCTACAATATTATCAGATAAAAAATGCAATTTCATCGCATAAATTTGAAATAAAATCGCTATTTTATCGACGGCGCGATTTATCGCAGTATTACCGAACAAAAAATAGTGATAAATTGAGATAAAATTTTGATTTTATCGAACGCGATTTTTTATATATAAAATTGCGATAAGATTGAGAATAATCGCTCAGATGTTGATTATACAAGCGTTTTTATCGCCAAAGAATCGTAAAAAATCGCAACTTCATTTCGAAAAATCGCAATTTTTCCGTTTAAAAATGCTACTTGGGTTGCAGAGCATGACTTGTTTTATTTTTGAAAAAAAAAACAAAAAAAAACAGCTTGTTATCTTACCATAAGCTTTGATTAAACCGATGAACGATGTGAACTTTAATTGTAACTAGTACATATTGCTCGTTTGAAGTTCTCCTTCAATTTGCCGTATATACAACAAACATATCGCGGGGTGCGAGTAGTTCTTTACCTATCCGAAATGTACACACTTTTGTCGTCCCATAAGCTCTCATTATACACAACATAAGCTGGGCAAACAATGTTGCGAACCTGAATTGCCTTTCTGGAATTCCTTCAATTTCTCGGTATAGGCAAATATAGTTGCCTAATGTTGTTGTTGTTGTTGCCCCACCTTATGTTGTGTATAATGAGAGCTTGTGGGACGACAAAAACGTGTACTTTTCGGAAATACCATACCCTCAGAAATGAACAGCGTTTTACTGAACATTCTATTTTTTGTGTTTAGGATACTGGATAGTTCACTGCCATGTTTCGAATCACATGGAACTGGGTATGGCTTTCGTGTTGCAAGTCGGCGAGGAGCGCGACATGACACCACTTCCCAGGAGTTTCCCGATTTGCGGAGACTGGCCGAACGCCCAGGAAAATGGAGCCCCAAATTTCACTCCTCCGATACTCGGCCTTCTGTTTTTTGTTCTCATGGTGGGATCCGGTGCTCTGAATTGATGAGTTCTTAGCAGAAAATGCAAAGCTACTACCTGACTGAACGCCAAGTTTTCGGGCAGTGCAAGCTGTGCAATCTCCATATGAACTTTGAGCGCTGCTAAGGGCATCGCAATATCGTATGCATGTATGAAAGCTGGAACGCCTTCAGTTTTTCTGAATGCAACACGCATGGCAATTGAGCAGGAATAATATTAAATCTGAAAGGCACTACTATCACATGAGGTTGATAGATAATATAATAAAATCGACGGAATTAATTTCATTAAAGTAGATACAATTTGAGACCCCATTCACTCAAGTTTTCCACAAATTAGGATCTTTAGAATCAAATTAGAACCATTAAGAAGTCTTCATCCAGTGCAAAAAATGATGAAATTTCATCTTTTTTTTTTTGGATGACAATACTTTCTCTACCCGCAAGAGGAGTGAGAAAATAAAAAATCTCTATGAGAAGGGAGGGAGAGGGTTCTTATGAGCCCCTGACAAGACTAAAGCACTAGATTCTCGATAAGTACTCAAGTGCCACTGATCGAAATCGAGTAAACTGTTGAGGATGTCACTACACTTAAGTCCATCATTCCTAATTTGATGTTTCATATTACATTAAGATCAACTAATATTCTTTTTCACTGCCAATTTGTTTCCAGATAATTTTCAATACAATTTTATTTCATGAATGTGATACCTAGTATTTAGTGATTAGTATGAGTAAGTAAACTTCCTCATCTTCATTACTTAATTAAAGTTTCCACTTTCCAGATGAATGAATAGAGCCAATTATTGATATGTTAGACATTTAATTTTTCTACTTCATAAGTAAATGTACACTAAATGTAGATAATAAAATAAAAGCAAATTTTGTGAAAAGGAAAATGGTGTATACCTGTTTGATTTATGAAATAAAAAAATAAACCTTATTGCAGCAGTGATAACATATTTCTGTTGTTTCAGGTGATAAAAATCAATGGTAAGGGCTTTTCTGTTATGTCATGTGCACATTTGGACTTGCTGAATTTTCTCCCATAAAAACATAATTTCGTGGAAGACTTGTTCTTTTTTTTTTTCTGTCTTTGAAATTTTCCGAAGATCTCACATGCTAATTTTTATAGCATGCCTGCAAAATTTAAGTGAAATATTCATGACTTTTTCAAAAATGAAATATATTAGGGGAGAAAATTCGGCAATATGAATTATGAATGTCAAATCTTGGCCTGACTAAAAAATAAGGCTATGGCTGGGTCATCAAGGGGGTCAAACAATGATTACACTTCAAATATGTTCGCATTATTTTTGCAGAAAAAAATTGAATAAGAAAAGCAGTGCTTGAATCTCAAAAACATATTACGAAGGAAAATGAAAACAGTTGTGGGGTTTGGTCAAATAAAATATTTTACTGGAAAACAATTTCCTTACAGAAAATATCTCGGTAAACATTTATAAAAATAAAATATGGTATCCGATAAAATGGCCTATTCAACAGAGGACCCTCCTAAAACTTAAAACCCTCATGGAGTTGACTTAAAACTTAAAAACAGAAAAAAAAGAATACATTCATGTAAAAAATGTGAGAATCTGCCAAAAAATTTAAGAACATTTCTTTCACCGAAGTTGATAACATTATAAATACAAAATTCACTGAGGTACAAAGATAAAAAAATACAATAATGAAGAAAAAAATATCACATTTCTAAGAGGTAGTTCTTCTGGAAGCTTTGAATTTGCTAAGTTTGGGTTTCGGAATGGGAGGTTCCTCTGCTGCCTCAGATTCCAATGGCATTGCGGTATCCGCAACTTTTCTTTCAACAATGTCACCAAAGACCTGTAGGACACAAGACAAAGTACATATTAGAATAATTAACAACTTCGTCCACCGCAAAACATGGTAGACAACAACTTAATCCAGGAATAGGCTGACGTTGAGTTACCGTGTACAGTCAAGATATGACTATAAAATAAAGGCTCCTTGAATTCTTCAAATATATTTATGTTTGCTGCGAGGATTTTGCAAAAACATCTAATCTTGAGATAAATATTTCCATCATAACTCTTCTTCAATTGGGTCATCATTATATCATTAAATTGGGTTCATCTCCAGCTTCAGAAGGACAAGAACTTTTTGAGGGTTGGAAAGTTCCAATATGACCTGCTACACATTCCGTTAATAATTTGAAAAAAAAAAGAGGAAGTTGCAAAGTTTTAAAGAAATAGAAATTGCACTGGTTCCTTTTTTCTAAAGCGATCCAAATAACTATCTTTGCTTTGATTTGCTTTGTTAACTCCACGCCTTAAAAGAATAATGTTTGGAGAAGAATAAAAGACGAAGACTAAAAATAATAAATTTGGCAAAGGATTACAAATGGTTGAAATTTACTTTCATAAAACTCACCGCTTTCACTTATTATATTTTACTGTTGACGCACTTCCAGACCGAATTAACGTCCCTTTGTCAGGACTTGCGTGCGCCTTGACTGTCTCAAAACGCTTCGACAATAAAATATAATAAGTGAAAAAGGTGAGTTTTACAAAAGTAAATTTTAACCATTTTACCAAGTGCTTTCACTGTTTGTTTAAAATTGTTTGAAAAATATTACAAACCTGAGGTAATGGTTCAGCATCCACAGGAGCAGAAACTGTTCTTGACATATTTGGAAACAGTTCTTCATTCTCATAATCACTGTCATTTAGATTAGGATTAATATTTGAACGAGTGATGATATCTTGGTCCAGGCTGGCCGATTTTTTCAATATAGACTTCGGTTTGAACAGATGTGGAAAAACCCTGTAAATATCTGAAGGTTTCTCTATAGACTTCACATCCGACTTTTCATCTACTTGGAGGCTTGAGGAAGGCTCAGTAACTTCTTTACTATGTCTAAACTTGATGACGATGATGTCCTCATCATTAGGTTCTTCAAGATTGAAAGTTATGCTTCTTTTTCTTTCAGGTTCAACTTTTAAGGGCTCTGCTTTTCCCTTTTCTTCAGCCTTTTCCTGCTCCTTCTCCTCTTCTTCTTCTTCTTCTTCAAATTCATCGCTCAGAGTGTCCGTTGAATAATCCTCTTCATCTAGATACTCATCATCTTCGGCATTTAGTTCATCAATCCGCTCCCTATGAAAGTAAAAAAAAATTATGAGTTTTTAAGAGAATGTAGATTTTTTAAAGTAAAGACTGACTTTGATCATCCAGTAAAAAAATCTGACACCTTTTCAATTTAAATTTTAAAGGTTTTTATTTTTTATTTTTGCTCCATAAAATTGATTTTCCTAAAATCATGTGTACACAATTCTGTAAAATTTCTTCCCGGTGTAGAAAATCCGTTCCCGTGCACGTAATCTATCTCCCGGATTTTTAAAGGGTCCTGAGTATAGGGTCCCAAATATTTCCCGATCAATAAATGCTAAGAAATCAGCAGTAATTTCATTAAATGCCCAAAAATTTTGATTGATTCATAAATATTGTTTGAGAAGACAGCTGTTGAAATGAATCCCCTTAATATTCTCTCTTTAAATTACATCAAAATGGCACCATAACTTGGATGACTCTGTTCACTTTCTAAAAATTTTATATTATTGGAAAAATATACAAGCAACTGCTTGACTTTCCGATTCTTAAAAAAATCTTTCACAAGTTGAAAAGTGCCCTCTCAAAAAGAAATGATCACAGTAATAAAGGAAGAGAGAAAAAAAAGGATGAAAAGTTATGAAAATAAAATAGAAGTTGAAAAATATCATTTCGAATACACTTACATGGCTTCACCTTGGTTAGATTCTTCAGATTCTAGCCTTTGCAGTTTTTCCCAGACGTCTTCATCTTTTTTGGATACTTCTTTTTTCCTTTGTTCTGCTAACTTCCTCCGGTATTCTCTTTCTCTTTCTCGATGCTTGACTGATGGACATCAAAATTAAAATCAAATTACTAACGTAAATGTACGAATCTACTACTTAACTATAATGATCTTAAGCACTTGAAACAATTTTGTGCATTTAGATCAAGTTAGGCAGGCATACCTGCTACATAGAAACTTTGAGTAAAAACCCTAAGTAAGCAGAATTTAAGTAAACCCACTTAAGTACTAAAATTTTATGAGCCTTAAAAATTGAAAATAATCCCAAATTAAACAAACTGGAAACATAGAGGGGATTGAATTCACCAAATCAAATTTTTTTATATCCAATAAAATGGCTCATGAGACTTCAGACATAAAAATCATGCACTTTACAAATAAACTTAGGAAAATCTTCAAGCCATTTCTGTGTACTTAATCTACATATCAAACATGGGAGAAGGTGAAATTTTGATAGCTACCTAAACTAAAAAAAAAAAATGTGTATCTTTATTGCAATGTTTCAGAAGTTCCAACTGTTCCATTACATAAGGACAGCTGCGATTAATAGCAGAGAAAAGCGATTTTCAGTCTGGTGTGGAATTTTCCAGACTCAATGCGTACAGCACTTCCCTCTTGTCTTTCTTCTCTTGTTGAATCATACTCTCTGTTCTGCCCTCAGCAAACAATTCACCGGTGGTGGAATTTGCGTGTGTCATGGTCAGGCAGTGTACTGTACAACCTATACCCACCCAGCTTTATTCTATCTCCAGTGATCCCATGCACATTTCTGTTTCTTCCCTTCTGTTTTCGACAAAATCTACAGACTTAAAACCTTTTTCGATGATAATGATTGCAAAAACTTTTTGACACATGAGTGTAATTTTATGTCTCCTTCTAAAATCTTAAAGCAAGCAGGGCTTACTCTGCTTAGCTGGGCCCAAAGCGTTGGCCTAACCTACCACGAGCACATTTCTACTTCAATTTCCTGACTTCCTTCTAAACTCCCTGATATTTCCTGGGTTTCTATGGCCATTTTAAGGTCTCTGACATTCGCTTAATTATTTCCGTTTTTGAAACCGTTTTCTTGTCTGGTCTAGTTTTTCCTTGCACCAAAACGACCATCCAGTAGAGATAAAGATTAATATTAGATGGTTTTAGGGAAGAGAAAAACTTACTTCGCCATTCAGCTTCTGCTTCTTCATCATAAGGTTCAATTATTTCTTGAACGTTTGTTTGAGGGAATGCAGCTGACTCACTGGGGAAATTTTGACGTGACTCTAAAAGCTCTGATTCCTTCTTCAAAGATTTCAATTTTTCCTCGCAATCTGCAATCAGAATGATTAGAAAATTAAACATTCTACAAATAGGCCTCATAAAAATTAATGAGGAAAGAAAAAAATTGCAATCCAACTCTGTTGCTACTTTTATTGCTAGAAAGACATGCTGAGGTACTCAAGATCTTGACGAAATGATTCTATTTAGAAAAAATTCATTCATAAGTATAGTATTCTGCTTCTGCCTGAATTCTTCTTCTGATAGTAGAAGCGGGGTTTTAAGTTGGATTCTGATTACCTCAGGCAAGGCGATAAATGGAGCATTGGTCAAGCTCTTCTCATTTTTTAAGGGTCATCTTATCATCTTTCATGATGTGAGATTTTTTTTTAATAGAAGACTTTCTCGGGTTTTTGTTTCCCTTTTCAGTTTGAGCAGAGTAGAATCTTCGGGTCAGTGGGCTAATACAGTATTCCGCTGATTTTTTTTTCTTTTCTTTTTTTCATAAAAAAATTTGGTTTAAAACTATTGTAACTATTACAAGAGCGATGTGCCTTCCATCTACTTGCATGAGTTAAATTTAAAAATGTGAATATGAGACAAAGTAACACCAGATACCTAATACAAATTTTCTAAAAGACCAGGAATTTTAGGTTTCTCAGTCTTTTGTAATACGATATTATTATTTCAGCTCATGCTCTAGAGAATAGTGCTATATCTTCAAAAATTTGTCCTTGAAAATTTTTAATCTTAGGAGGGAAATACACTTACATTCTAGGCGTCTTGTGCAGAATTCTCCAGTTTGAGCAGCAGACTGCTTGACAAACCAACCGTCTCCAAGATTGACTAGACACTCATTCGTGTGAACTAGATCGCCTTTCATGAAAGCTTTTTTTCCAATAGGCACCATGATTGGCACTTTGAGGTGTTTGCTATACTCTGCTAGATTTTTTTTTACTTCTTCAAGACTTTCTTTGTATGTTTCCCATGTGAGAGTAGATTCTTCATTTATCCTTAAGGCCTATGGAATATTGAAAAAAAGGTAAGTTTTTCAAGTACAATGAGTGAAAAAAAAATTCCGAAAAAAGTAAACAATAAATTAACATCAAATATTCATTCTCAAACAAAGGTATTTTGATAAAATTATTTTAATCTAAATTGAGAGTAAGGGTCAGAAAATGTGTAGGTTTAAAAGATGGATGATTCTGAATAAAAGAGGATGTAGGCCATTTGACCTGAAGAAGGTAAAATTTTACAATTGATGCAAAATACAACATTTTTTTATAAGAATTTTCAGGTAACGGCAGATTAATTTTGGAAAAAAGTTCAACATTCAATGAGGCCTTTTATGCTAGTGCATGGCAAATGAAGGTTTTATATGTGTGAGTTATTAATGATGACAATTGAGTAAGAGAATAGCAAATCCGCTTTATTTTGTTAACTACATGGTTCGAGGCGAGATTTCTAACGAAGACTATCATAGGTGCGAGGCGCAGTTGCGCTGGCTGGCTCGGAGAGGAAAAATGCCAGCGGTCATCGAATTTTTGCATCAAACTGTTAATTTCTTTCTATTCAGTGGCCAAGCCACTCAGGCTGTCTCACTCTGTCGACCGTAGTCCTATGCTATGTTGCTACATTGAAAAGAAAATATTTATCCATTCCAACAGCAAAGACTTGGCAAAATTAAGATGGCAAATAGAGACTAGACTAACAATAAAGTTGGAATTATTCAATAATGTCTCACCTTTTCATATTGCTCATGCAAGAAGGAAAATGAGCCTGGATTTGAAACTTTTTCTTCCATTTTGTTAGCCGCTGATTCAAAATTGTTTACCACCGCCAACAGTGGGATGTAGCTCTGTGTTAAGTCAGCATATGAGAAAGAAACATTAGATGAGGACTAAAAAGGTGAGCTTTAAAAATATCTGCGGCAGAGAAAAAAAAATGGGAAAAATCAGACACAGTAAAACTTGGTGATGTTACATAATTCAGTGAGAGAGGGCTAATGTCGATGGCTAATGTCGAAAAATGTAGGCCTCCAAAATGTTTAAAAATCTAGAATTACACTTCAATTATTCAAAAGGATAATAACCAAAAAATCTCCTTCATATTTTATTCGGACATTTTTGAATGAGTGATAAAAAAACATATAATTTTTTTTCATTTGTAAATTGAGTTTTTTTTATACTATACATAATATATTATATAAAAAGACCTGTTACTTGGATAAGGACTTTAATTTCTTCTGAAAAAATAAACCTGAGCACTGATTTGCAACATAATAGTCGTATATCACAGTGAAACTCCCAAATGCCATATCTCAGATTGCAACGCTGAAGACTTCTTACCAAAATTAATTTTTGAAACTTGTACCTCCTCCAATTTAGAGGAACAAATCTAAAGCAAATAAAAAGTTTTGCAGGGGGCAAAAGATAAAACATCTTTAAAAAACTATGAAAATGGAAGTTACAGTTTAGTATTCAATTACGGAGGCCATGAAAAGAGCACCACAGATAACCATGGGATCCACTTGACATAAGAGCAAAGAATCGAGAAGATAGGGCATTTGATGCATTGTAATGGACGAAAAACCAGCAAGCTATTTAGACCATTTGATGAAGTACAGGGGAAGTATAACTTCAAGACAAGGCAGCTGGCAAACGGCGGTCGCATTTCCTTTAAGGAGACTCCAATTCCATTTCAGAGACTAGAGATGTGCAGAGGGCTGCCATGTGACACCGTAAAAGTACAATATTTGACCACCCATGTGTATTTTCCTTGATTTTGAGCTAAGTGACAAAATTGCCACAATGTATTTTCCAAGAAGTGAACAGCAAACTGACTTTAGAGCCAATATCCAGTTGAGTTAGGGGGAGTCGGAAACAGAGGCTCAATAAGTCGTCACCTTCCAGGCAAAGTATCACAAGCGCCATGCGACGTTTAAAAATTTCCGCCGCCATTTTATTTCTTTACTGAGAAATTGTTGGTTGAATCTGTTTGGAAATTTCACTAAATTTTATCGGCAGCACAAAGAAAATTCAGTGAAATTTTCGGACAGCTTCGTTGAACAATTTCTCTGTAAAAAAATAAAATGGCGGCGGAAATTTTTAAACGTCGCATGGCGCTTGTGATACTTTGCCTGGAAGGTGACGAAGTACTGCAGCCTGATCGTTGAAACTTTAACTGGCTATGTCGGCAAGATAAGACAAGACATAGCCCTATCTGCTCCGTGTAATATAACGATTTTCGATTCTTGTTGTATGTACCGACATAAATTTAAACAATCGGGCTGCTGAAATACTTTACCAAGGTCCAAACAAGTTACAATCAATTTACACTTGATTCTATATGGTTTAAGCTGGCTTATTCCATCATTGAACTGGAGTGATTCTTCATGGGTGAATCTGAACAGATAAAAGACCGTCAAAGAGACAAAATTAATGCTAAAATTCTTACTAAAAATGATGCAGGTTGAAAACCACCAGAATCTTGAACATGATTCACTACGAAAGGTTGCCTTCATTAAAAAATTCACTCGGAAGAAAGTGCACGGGACAAACAGCATGAGTCGCTACTTTACGTAAAATTAGGATAAATGAATAAATTTAAGTTACGAACAGTGTAAAAGGTGTGAAAAAGAAATTATAATCAAAGCCATGCCCATGCCGCTTTTTAATTCATAATATAAACATAACCTTATTTTGAAAGTGGTCGTTCAAATCAAAGAGGTTCAAATTGCTACATTTTTCCAATTATTCCTCTTTTCGAACAGAAGGAATCTTAACCGCAAATTCTGAACCAGACGCTTTGATTGGTCTAGAGCGGTTCATTCCATTTATTCCGAGTTGAACCAAAAGAAGCGGGAATTTCAAATAATTCCGGATATCCTGTCTACCAAATAGTTTCCGTTTCCGGTAAACAGTGTTGTCAGTTTTATTTATCAAATGCTCGTAAAACTGACAACACTGTTTACCGGAAACGATTTGGTAGACAGGATATCCGGAATTATTTGAAATTCCCGCTTGTTTTGGTTCAACTCGGAATAATTGGAATGAACCGCTCTGGACCAATCAAAGCGTCTGGTTCAGAATTTGCGGTTAAGATTCCTTTTGTTCGAATAGAGGAATAATTGGAAAAATTGTTTACCTTTCATTTAGAGGTTATGTCATTGTTTACCTTCAAAAGTTAACTTCCAGACAAAAATGATTAATTAAATAAAGGGTGCACTTTTTTTAAATTTTGTGTGGTGTCTCCCCTCCCTCATTCTGCAAGTGTAGTTCAAAATGTCTGACTCTTCTTCGGAGCCCAAGATTTCGTTCAAGCATCGCAAGAAACCAATTCGGATGAGGAAACGTTCCTCAGGAAGCAGCAGCGAAGAAGAGGGTGCTCCAGTTCTGTAAGTATTTTTGTTTCAGCTGGTGTGACCAATATGGATTGTTAAATACATCTCCAGAATTTTTTTTATTGAAACCACATTCCTGTCAAACCCTTTTGTTTTTAAACAATTTCATCTTTTGTATAATCTCGGTCGAAGGAAGCGACCCAAATAATAAAGCTAGAATCAGTTATTCTTAGGTAAAAATTTGGGAATCTAAGATGACTAGCATTGTGGGATTACAGAATATTCATTATAACTTGTCTCAGGAATGCAGTCATGGAGTATAAACCTATGTTATTATAATTATTTTCATTGCTATTTGTTCCAGATCAAAATTGGAAGAAGCAAAACTTCTCCAAACATTAAGAAAAAGACCAAATGGAGTGAGCGTTGTCAGTTTGGCCATTGGCCAGAAGGTGCCTGAAATTGAAGCGTCAGTTGTAAGTAGAACTTCATTGTCTCCTTCTAATTGCCATACTCCATGAAGATGTTATTGGAAAGAGGACATTACTCGAGAGAGTAATTTATTTTACTGGGAAGTTTCTTAAATTTAATTGACCAATGAACTCCTCAAGAGCAGAAGCACCATAATTTTTAACTACATTACTGAAATGAAAATGGAACTGTCTGGGAAAAGAGACATACTTAGTCCACAGGGAAATTTTTTCAGTAGGTAGGGTGATCATTATCAAATCGAGTCAACAATTCAAATTTTTCCATCAAAATCTCTAAATTTATTCTCAGGTGTCTGTGAGAACAAGTTGTGAGTCGTTCAATTTATTTTTGTGCTAATAGAGGCCATGCAGGAGGATCATAATGCAGCAATGTCTTGTCCTAAATAAGACAGATTAGAACTTCCAAGAACTTTTTTTTGTACTTAATCACATCTGTGAACTGCCATTTTAAAACTATCATAACTCTAGCGTCGATCAAAATTTTTAGGGGAGTCTTGTTCCTTAATATTAGTAAGATGCCACTCCCGTATTACTAACTCAATTTTCAATTTTTGTGGACTTAGTCTCACATATAAAATCAAAATTCTCAAACCATACAAAATAAGTCAGTTGATCATGATATTTTATTGACTTGGTTTCACATGAATTGTTATCTTTTTGAACAATTTTAGACGGACCCTTTTAAAGTGAAGACAGGAGGACTCATCAATATGAACGCCTTGAAATCTGGTGCTGTGGAGCAAGTCGACGATGCGTATGACACAGGAATCGGAACTCAGTTTTCTGCAGAGACAAATAAAAGAGACGAGGATGAAGAAATGTGAGTAATCTTTTCTTTTATTTGATAATTTCATCGACTGCAATTTTGAGAGTTAATCAAACTAACAAGGCAACAAGTTTGCTTCTGGATAGTATCTCTCCGGACAATCTTTTTTAAAATCATAGGTACATTAATTGTTCAAGTTGGGAACTCTTTGTAGGCACATTGTATTGGCATTGTCAAAACTTCACAAACCAACTTTTGTTTAAGAAAAAAAAATCAAGCAGTACTCACCATTACTTTAGATATTCAAAGATTATTTTTTATAATCAACAAAACTTTAGTATTTTTCTTTTAATAAAATCAAGGAGAGAAAATAAAAAGAAAAAGTAGGTAAATGTGAAGCGGTTTTGCTCTACTAATTTATTTTTTTGGCTTCAAATGAAGCTTTTTTATGATCATTTTAATGGGTGAGAGATACTCATCATGATCACTAAATTAATGAGACTCAACAGTTTAAACATGAAAAATGATGGTGGCATTTTGATGACTGCCTCATGGACTGGACTCATGCCTAATTTGTTTTTCCACTAATCAAGAAATATTTATCGACGAAAGAAAGAATTTTTCTGATGACACTTAAAAAATAATTTTCAATGCTGTAAAAGCTATGTTCTATCAAAACCTCTGATCAACTTTTTATTTTACTTATGATAGCAGGGAAATAATTCTAGCAATCTCGCAGTCAACAGTGTCTCACAGAATTTGCCGTGTACAGGGTGCAATGCAGTCTTGTCCCCTCTTGTGTCCTGAACTTGGTAGTTAAATCATTTTTCTGCCTTCTATTTTCACAGGATGAAATACATTGAGGAGCAACTATCCAAAAGGAAAGGTAGTAAAAAGGAGGATGAAAAACCAATCGTGTCGGGTGATTCAAAGTACTGCTCTCCAGAAGAAGCAGCTTTACAGGCTGTTCCAGATCATTTGCGTTCATCCACCACTCATCGATCAGAGGAGATGTTGTCCAATCAAATGTTGAGTGGTATTCCAGAGATAGATTTGGGAATAGAGTAAGTTGTATCCTCCAGTCATGACTTTGGGGGATGAAACTCTCATTGGAGTTAAGATCAGAAGAGAAAAATTTACACCCAAGGGGTAAAACAAAATTTTACTAATGAAAATTTGAAGGATCAGGAACGAAATGAGTCTAAGATAAGATAATTTCACAGTATATATCCATTTTGAATGCTTTCATTCCTTTAAATTTTGTTGGCAAACCTTCCATTATCAACAAATGGACGGAGTTTTACAGAAATTCAGAAGTTACATCAAGTTAAAATGAAGAAAAAGACGTTCAAAGTTTTATTCCACCATGAAATTCAATGTTTTGGACAAATTTTAATACCCTTCCTATGTTTAAAATTTTTTCAACACTTCGAATTTTTGAGCGGAGAAAATTTATGATTAGTTCAATTCAAAGCCTTTCTTAGCTAATCCCCCCCCCTCCTCCCCTCTAAATGCGTCTTTGTGCATTACTGTTAAACATAGTCCGAATGTTAACCAGTTTAAAATCGTCAAAACTCCTACACACCTGATGAATTCATTTTATCAGCTCAGATATCCAGAATTTATGAGTGATAATGTGAATGTACAATAATTAAGTAGGTTTTAAACTTTCCTTATTGATTTTTCTAGATTCAAATTAAGTAATCTCTCATCCTTGTGTTACACTTTGAAATATACCTAATGTCAATCATGCTTTCCTTTCAGAGTCAAAATAAAAAATATAGAAGCAACAGAGGAAGCCAAATTAAAATTACTGGCAGAAAGGCGCAACAAAAAAGATGGCCCTTCTCAGTTTGTACCAACCAACATGGCAGTCAATTTTGTTCAACATAATCGATGTAAGTTTGAAACTGGAACGATACACCTATCTCTTACACCTTATTTTTTGTTTCAAGAGAGAAAACATTGATATTAATTTTAAATGAAAAATTCCCTTCTAACATTTCACTGATGATTTTTTGGAAAATCACAATAATTGAGAAAATCAAATAATGTATTATTTTATCAAATTTAAGTAGAGTTGGATTCTGGCGTTCAAATTTTCTTATCCGATCATTCAAGACAAGCAGGATGCTCTTAACACAATTCGTTTTTCCCTGTACAAAGGAATGTAACTTCAGTTCAACGTTAAAAAATTGACTCAAACTATTCAATATTTTACAAGTAATTTATCTAGGCAATTTTTTGCCAAAATTTGTCTGATTTTTGCATGAGATCAGAAGAAAAACCAGGGAAACTTCTAATTGGAAATGCCGAATATTCTCTAGGTAGAAATGAAATTTTCAAGAAGAAATTTGGCAACATTGCAATGTAGTCACGTCCCTATGTGGGACGAACAACAAATTAGTGCCCCCAACAGGCTTTGATACACTATTTTGTAAACTGTTCTTTACACAAGGGTAACTATTATAAATCTAGATCTGTCAAAACAGTCTTGTTTGTTTTCATTTGTAATGATACTTTTGACGATCCTCTTCTTTAGTTGATTTGTAATCTTTCTTTCTAATTCCAGTCAACATCGAAGAAAGCGGTCCACCAAAGAAGCGGGAGAAAGTGGCTGTCGAAGAAGTCAAACCAGCTGCCACGGCAGGAAATCCAAAAGACAAAGACAAAAAATCTGATTCTGGTCGAGAAAAAGCCACCGACGACTACCATTATGAAAAGTTCAAAAAACAATTCAGGCGATATTGATATCTTCCATCACATATTTGTCAAGAGAATGCATGGGATCTCTCACTAGAAAGGTCTGACTTTTGCTCTGGTCTTCTTTCTTTTTGAGATTGTGCAGTCTCTCTTTGATAATTAGATAAAATGAGAGCAAGTCAGATAAATTTGGAATTTTATTTGCTGTTCAAAAATTCAAGCTGATTTGTTTAAGAGCAAATGAAGCAGTTTTAGAATTTTATTTGGTCCAATAAGTTGTGTATGATTGTGTGTAACACTACTAGAGACAGCTAATTGATCTAGACACATTTTTAACAATTTTAATTTACTTTGTAAATATGTAATTTGCACATAGTTTTCAAGTTGTAAATAAATGTTGATCATTTTTTTTTTCCAATTGTGATGATCAAATCTTTTTATCTTTTAAGTTCATTTCTTAGCTCAAAATTAGTTTTTAATCAATCATACACACCAAGTTGCATTTTGAAAGAACTGAGTCGAGAATTGTTCTGAATTCAACCAGTCTTGAATTTTCTCCTGACAAAGATTGAAAGTTCAGGAAAAAGATTTTGAACGTGGAAGTAGTTTTTAAATTTTGTCGTTAACATTGAGTCGTATGGAGGCATAAAACTTCTAACATCTTTTCCTTGCTTCTAACTTATGCAATTCGGTGTGTTTTTGTTAAATTCAGCCAGATCACACTTCATTTTTAGTCCAGCAATTGAAAATTTTATCCGAAAGATAGGATCTTCTCCCAACACTTTTCATAAAAAAGAAATAAAAAAAAGTTGTAATGGGAACCAAAAAAAATTTAATTTGTGTCGTCATTTATCAGGTTATCATTCACCATCCACCAATCAAAGATTTCATCAAAATTTAATGCCCAATTTTAGCTGATAAGCAGGGAGACTGCTACTAGAGTTACTTATAAAATAATTTACTCAACCAAGGGACAAAGATTTATAAAAAATTCTAATCTCCTGCCATCTACATTTTGGATTTTTAAGATGTATCACTCAAGACACCTCCTGATTTTTGGTTCCCAAGCTCTTATGCAAACAAACTCGGTCATCCTCACAAAGAGCTCATTAATTGTTAAAAGTGACCGGTGGTTCCCGACAGGAAGTCTTTATGAATGGAGCAAAGCCGGCAGGGGTCACGACCGAAGGCATTTTGTCACAGGTTCATCAATCTCTGAGTCACACACAGAAATCTAATAGTTATTCAACACTGTAAACACAAAAATTCCTCGCCTGGTGTCAATGTCATCTTCGGGGATTGCAGCCAGATGGGTGATCAGCAGCAGACTAAACAGTTCCCTGAGCGGTCTTTGCCCTCTCAAGAGGGCAAACAACCTCAGTAAACAATCAAAGAGGGCATGTTTAATTAGTATCTTCTTGTCAATGAGCTGGCTGGTCACTTAAGAGGGGCTTCCTTGTGGCACTGGACAAAATCATCTCCGTGGACACTGAGTTGCCAAATTATATGAGGAATTCACATTTTGGAATTTTATTTTTGATAAATATTTTGCAGACAAAAAAAAAAAAAAAAAAAAAAAAAAAAAAAAATGGCACTAACCTACCCTACCCTTTTTCAATAAAAATTCCTGTGAAAAAGTACGATTGATCATCGATGAAATTACTGTCATTATAGCATACAGAGGAGAATGAATTATGCCCTTCATGACTTCATTATTTAGCTCAACCCCCTTTCCCATTAAAAAAGTGACTTTAGATTCAATACAGAGATGTGAGGACAAAAAATGATTGTGAAATCAGTAGCTCGATTTACTCACTAATATATTTGTTCCAAATTGTTTAAAGCCACCTATAAATGTAATGATCCAGTTGCAGGGCCACATGTCGACAGATTAAATTGGCCATCACATAACTCGGTTCGCGACGTCACAGACTTCCTGTCATACTTTATTTTTCAAATGGGAAACTACTCAACGGCAATTCTTTAAAACTGCCGTGATTTTTCTTCTCTGTGCGAAAGAAATTCTGCAAAAACTTCAAGGAATGATGTCAATTTGTTTTCCTTTAAAAAATAACATAGAGGTGGAGATTTTCAGACACCGCAAACGAGATATGTGATTGCAGACTTTTGCCACTGATGTGCTTTACAGGAAGGAGGGAGTCTATATCTTAAGTGTTCTTAAGGAAGACCTTTCGTTGTAAAATTCCTAGGAATTGCAGATGAGAACTATTCCTCCCCCCCCCCAATTTTAGGGCATGAAAAGGATCTTGACTCCTTTGCTATAATTTTTAATTTGGAAAGTCCAGGTGTAAAAAAATATGACTGACAAACTGATTTTATTTCTTTTTATGGCACTTACATGCCTTCCTCAAAACCACATGATACCAATGTAAGTGATGCAGGGCTGGGATAGGGATTCACACTTTGTGAAAATAGAGGCAACTGCTGGTACNTACAGGAAGGAGGGAGTCTATATCTTAAGTGTTCTTAAGGAAGACCTTTCGTTGTAAAATTCCTAGGAATTGCAGATGAGAACTATTCCCCCCCCCCCCCAATTTTAGGGCATGAAAAGGATCTTGACTCCTTTGCTATAATTTTTTATTAGGAAAGTCCAGGTGTAAAAAAATATGACTGACAAACTGATTTTATTTCTTTTTATGGCACTTACATGCCTTCCTCAAAACCACATGATACCAATGTAAGAGATGCGGGGCTGGGATAGGGATTCACACTTAGTGAAAATAGAGGCAACTGCTGGTACAGTTATAATTATTCAGGTTTGGCAACATTGTCAGGATGGAACAAAATGCTCCATTCTCTTCGGAAAAGTCAATACTCTGTGAGAGTACTCACGGAGGCTTCAATTCAGTCATTTTCATCTCAAAAGTTGCAGCGGTCACACAGTCAGCTCTTCAAAATGTTGTTAAGTTTTTCATTGCTCGTGCTAGTTTCCGACTATGCATTCGGATTTTTTTTCCCATTCCCTCTGAAAATTCCAATCCCTTTTAAAGTTCCTGTCCCTGTGCCTGCAGAGAAAGAGCGATGTAAGTTTTCTTTTTAACTTCTTTTTTACCACTGATAGTAAAGACATTTTTGTCGTAACTCAACTTCTTTCTTCAAAGCAGAGACATTTTTTGTGAAGGAAAAAACTTTAAAAAAAGCTGAAATTAGATTGCACACTGCAAAAATTTATTTTAACAGGATTGAAAGTTAATTACTATTGGAATGTGCCGGAGGTATTTGTGAGATGTCTGCTCAAAAAGATAGATTGTTGGAAGAAGAGGCAACTTTTTTATCGTACCTTTCTTATTGTTAATTTTAATCTCTGATTCAGGAGGAATTATATTAATCAACTGATCAGTTTGACTCAAATTTGCAAAATTGCACAGAGAAAAAAAAGTATAATTGTCTTCTTAGAGGTTTCTACTATTTCTTCTATTGACAAAGGGTCAGAACTGAACAGATTTGGACTTGATGTTAAAAAAATAGGTGGCTTCCAGACATTAAATGATAGTTTTGGATTCCACCCCTGTTGTTGCTTTCACTTATTATAAAAATAATAATAATTTTAAATAATTGCATTTGCATTTTTGTAATGATTTAGTTTTCTTGCCTCCACCATGGTACTACTATCCAAGGGTGATTCCTACTGGACAGTGCATTACTGATTTGAAACAGGAAGGAACATGTATGACGAAAGCTAGCTGTAACGTTCAAGGTGGTGTTGTAGGTGGCAGCTGCACGGGTGGTGTTTGTTGTGTCTGTAAGTAAACAAACTTCACAAGAGTAGATTGACGGTGAAACTGTAGAGGCGTACCTATGTATCTCGGACTGCAACGATATTGACTCCATACTTAATTCTTTTCATGGAAAAATATTTAGGTAATATCATTTCTTGAAAACTCCTCTCTGTGTGAAGAGTAATCTTCGAAAATTTCTAGGAATAGCGCTGGTTTGTTCTCCTTTGATAAAATTAAACAAGAAATGAGATTTTGAAGATATGGATGGCCAAAAGGCTAAACCGCATATCATCTCCGTTTGCAATGTTTCAGACTTCCTATTACACTAAGTTTTTCCTTTGAAAAACTGATCAACTCAAAATCTTCAAAACTTCTTTGATTTTTTCTCCAGCAGAAAGTTCTGTATGAATTTCGAGCTATAAAATGGCTTGATTCTCTTTGAAAAAATAAAATAGGAGCGGAAATTTAGAAACATCGAAATGGAGATGTGTGGTTTCGCACTTCAGCCATCAATATGTGTTCCTACAGTTTCACCTTTGAGATACATGTAAGCTTTGATCTAAACTCTACAATTTGTTCCTTGTGACAGTATCTTCCAGAGAGCATTGCATTTTTCAAATATTTTAAAAAACCGAGAATACGGGAAAAAGTATATACATATAAAGATTTTATATTTTAAATGCTGAAAGCTTCAGTTTAAGACCTGTCTTTTGAATTAATGATAAGATCAGATTAATGTGTTGTCTCCTGGCTGAGGCAATGTAACTCATCTTTTTTTCTTGCGACTCATTTTGCTCAGTCCTTGATTGCATACAAAATGTGATCCGCAAGAATAAATAAGTTACATTTCATGGATTGATCGAAGAAAAATTTTCCTATGTAGTTGTATTCTATGTGTGGCTCTAAATTACTTGACGAGAGTTGATAACTATGTCTAGAAAACTGTGCGAGCAGTCATAGAGGTGAAAATTTAACGATATTGTTGATAACTTAATGAAAAATTGTCAGATTGCCAATAAGGTCTTCGTGGTACTTATTTTTATCATTTTCTTCTGAGATCATGTAATAAAGAACCCTGTACAGAACTGCGAATTATTTTTTGCTTTCTAGTTGAGAGAACTTGTGGCGGAAGCTCTAAAGCAGATGTAACCTATTTCAAGAGTCCAAGCTATCCAGGCCCATTCAATAGTGGGCTCCAATGCTCATTGACAGTTTCCAAAGCATCAGACAAAATATGTCAGGTAATCACAAAAAAATATCATATCTACTTCCAATGTCAGTGAGTGGTTGAGAATCACAGCTCAACTTTTTTTGTTTAGAAAATTCTCCTCCCACCCTTGGCCTCTTTTTATTGTGATAGGTAGATTAGTTATAGTTTTTCTTATTTTCATTCTTATATCAGTGCCACACTGGGCTCTTTTGACTATTTATTTATACTTATGAGACTTTCATTCAAATATTTACGGCCAATTGATATTTGATTTGAGGATAGTACAATTGATTTTTACACATTCTTGCGCCAAATCCGATTAATACTTTTGATAATTGAAGTTGAGCTATGCCTGAGCTATACATAAAACTTCGGTATCATGCAAAAGAATGATGAAATTTCGGTGAGCAGAAATCGAACCAAGTTTTGCAACAAGGGACTAAGGAAACTAAAATGGTCCATATGTTGTTTATAAAATGCGCCAAAGATAGTAGTTCTGGATTGCAGAATGGAATTTAATTAATAGTTAGAAAAAAAAATTCTTGAAATAATAAGGAGTCCATTTTAAATCAGCATTTTAAGAGTTTTATTTTCACTTGAAGTTTACAATGATGGGGAAAGAATGAGTTTTTTCCAGTTTTTTAGAACTTTTAGCAGAGAAAAATAACTTGTATATTGTTTTTTGCCCCTAGCTGCGAATAGATTTTGAAACTTTCAACATCTCTCAACCCACTAAAGGAGAGTGCAAACATGATTTCTTGACAGTTGGTGAGGAGACTGTGCCGAATATTTGCGGGCAAAACAGTGGACAACACAGTACGTAATAAAACACATTTATAAGTTTAATACAGAACCAAATTTGAGGGAAGCAAAAGGGCAGGATGTAGATAAAAAAAAGCAGACTATTTTGAGGTTTTCCTTCCGTTTCTTTAATTTTTTCATGAGTTTAATAAAGCTGGGTAAGCTCATAAATTAAAAAGTCTATCTTGAAATAATTTACTTCGAGAAGCTTGTTATAACAGACAATTTGTCAGTTTTGAAAGATAATCCAGCTCAAAAATTTAAACAATGGGCCTGTTGCAAACTTTTGCTAGAGCAAAACTAAGAGTTGTTTCTTGTAGATAATGCCTCAAAAATCACGATGAGCGCATCGGCAAAGTCTGAAATGCACTCATAACTTCACAATCTGCGTAAGAAATTTGCGTTTTTTTAAGCTTCCCGCTTCAAAAACGATACTACGGCATAGGTGAACATTTTGTTAGAGGAGTCGCTCCATCGTCGGCGATATTCATCATGGCCGACGCTTGCACGCAGTTCCGCGCGTAATTCAAGGAGAGTCAAGGTCAATCCATTTGGGCGTGGAAAATATGAACGTTAACACACCGATTGTTATCTGGTCCAATCCAGTTCAGGTGTTATCTCGTCCCATCAAACGTGTTTTGGCGGATTGGCGTCGGCTATGATGATTATTGCCGACGATGGAACGACTCCTCTTACAAAATGTTCACCTGTGCCGTAGTATCGTTTTTGAAGCGGGAAGCTTAAAAAAACGCAAATTTCTTACGCAGATTGTGAAGTTATGAGTGCATTTCAGACTTTGCCGATGCGCTCATCGTGATTTTTGAGGCATTATCTATAAGAAACAACTCTTAGTTTTGCTCTAGCAAAAGTTTGCAACAGGCCCATTACGGTCTCTAGTTTCAATGGAAATTTCTTATCTGTATACGTACATGTCGCTTCATATTACTTCCTGGAACTCTACAACACCTAACCACCATTGTTCCCCCATTTTTTTTCTTTCACTCAAACAATTACAGACATTCAGGGATAAATTGAAAAAAAAAAAAAATGAATAAATAAATGAGAGACTGGATGAATGGGCCACTGGACAACGTCTCAACTAAAAGAAACGGCATGCATTTTTCCTTCAAATTCTTACTTAAAAAACGATTCATACAATGGGAAGTACAGAAGTCAACTCCTGAGCGAGACTTTGACAAGTATTTTAACATAAAGTACATGAAAGTTACATCATACAAGTGACATCATTTGTACTTTTGTCATTCATTTTCCTTGTAAAATTTTGAAGAGGTAACATGTTGCATAATGCTTGCATTACACATTCATACCTTGTCTGAAAACCCATTCAGACAGTCATAAAAATAAAATAATCATTGACTTTCATACGTAAATCGTAGTTGCTATGTCCAAAAAGTAACACAAATTTCAAATATGTTTACAGTTTATGTTAATTTTGATCCTGAAAAAACAGTATCTCACGTATCGGTGGATACAAGCTCAGCCGTTTCCTTCAATCGACTTTGGAACTTGAAGGTTAAACAGATTCCGTGCAACTCAAAATATCAGGGTGAGTTTTATCAAAACGAAAGTTTACTTTGAAAAAATAGATGTGCAAACTTTTTACGAGTGTGATTTCATTTGTTGGGATTGGAAGTTTCAAGACTTGGTTTAGCCCATGACTTGGGAAAAATATCTGATACGATGTTTACTTTGAGCAAAGGACAAATTTTTATTTAATTAGCTGTGTCTGTATCTGAGAAAACATTAATCACTTACAATACAGTTAAAATAAAATGGAGGAAGCAAATTATTCTATGTGAGGTTCTTTTCACGCTGGTACATATTAGGATCAAAATCGCTGTGATATCTAAATTAATCTTGTGACTTCAAACTGAAAAGATTAAACAAGAAATACATGCTAAAATTGGATAATTTTGTAAATCTTGCAACTTTTTCAGCTCCGAATGGGTGCCTACAATACTTTGATACTACATCTGGATCAGTGAGCAGCTTTAACTACGGGAGCAAAGGCCAGAAAAGTAAGATTTTTCCTGGATTCATTATCAAATCATTAATTCATTACTAGTAATACAACTGGGCACAAATAAGGAAATATTCATAAATACTCTCCAAGCCTTTTTCAGGCGATGTTCGAAAAAAAATTGGTGGTAATTCATAGGTTTCCACATAAGATACATTATTTGTTGATAGGAAGGTCAACACAGATAGCAGAATACAAAATGTTTTCTGACTGACGAGGATACTCAAGTTATTAATATCGGTATGATGGCTGAATCAGCTAAAGATGGCGGCTTTGAAGCATTGAAAATAATTATTTTTCCTTCTCAAATAAGGTTACGAGAAAGACGTTTGATTAGACAGTGGAAATGCAGAAATACGGTTTGGAGGTTCTGCAAAAAAAAAAAAAAAAAGATGTTTTGTGACTTGTGGACTTAACATCAATAATTAGCTAAAAGCCAAAAAGTTGACTTTGAAATAACACTTATTTTTGCCAGCTGCCACAGCACATACCACTAACATTTCTTTCGAACGTTATATGTACTACTCGAGTGTTGGTGGCACTTAGCCCTTCATGCAGCATGTAGTTTTTGATACCTCGAACGAAGCACTCAAGTTTTGATTTTTTGGCCCTTAAGCAGTTATTGATGATAAGCCTGTGCTGTGTTTTTTGGAGACTGTAGTGGGAAGAACCAGCTTAAGACAAGCCAACTTACTTCTAGAAATGCGGGACACTCATACTGTTGATTTTCTCCTTTTTGCAGCACAGCTTTTAACGAACTTAAACTACGGCGTTTGCATTGCATCACCTAAAGATTACTGCAGTTTAGAGTGGTCAGGTTCAGACAGCTTCAACATGCCCTCGGAGACGGAATCTTCAGTTCACTATGAAACTTCAACGGCGCCTGTGACAGGTAAAAATCAAAAAGTCTTACAAAAGTCAAAATGAGTGTCTAATAGTTAAAAAGTTACTTGTTATCAATGATAATTACTGCTGTGATCTACTTTGCGTGAGCCACTAAAGCTAAAATGTCCATCCATTTTGCAGGAGATTTATAAGTGACAAGTATTGCAATAGTTGTGAAAATCTTTAATCTTTATTGTTTTCCAAATATTTTTATCACTTACTTCTTCATTTTAGTCGACAGAAGTATTCGTTTCCATTTAATTCAACCTGGGGCACTTTTAGAGAGCTACTTTAGCAGAGGGTGGATCTATCCCTTCCTTGATTTGAAATCAGACTTTCTGTTTAGAGATGCAGGAAATGTCCAGTCTTGATCTGAGATATGCAACGAACATGAAGCAATTTTAAAAAAAACCAGCGCTCCGCTTCGCTCCGCGCCGGTTTTTTGGGGGGGCTTCGCCCCCCCAAGCCCCCCCAGGACGCGCGCTTCGCGCGCGCTTTTTAGTTTGAGTGTCCATTCCAGTTGTTCTGTCTCCTTAAGCGACCCGCGCGTCCACCGCGGGAAGAGTGTATTTTCCGAAGGGGGGGGGATCAATCTGTAAGGGAATGAATTAATTTCTTGAGCACAAGATAGTAGTTGCGTACGTTGCCAGCGAACGCGCTGCGAAAGGTTGTGACGGTTAAATGGTGAGATTTTGTTCAAGAACAGATCATTTAACCTGACCCACTGTGCGACGAACAATTTGTCCAGAATCTTCCTTTCCCTGACCCACTGTGCGCCGAAAAGTTTGTCCAAAAACTTCTCTCCCCTGACCCACTGTGCGACGATCAGCTTGTCCAAAAACTTTCTCCCCCGACCCACTGTGCGGCCCTGCTCCGGCCGGCTCCCCTCATGCCGCGCACCCCTCGCCTAAAACTTTCAAAGCTCGCCATTTTTAAACGGCTCGGCCGATTTAGCTCAAATTCAATACCAAACCAGTCCTAGGGGAGAACTACCACCCGTAAAAATTTCAGCTCAAAATATACATTTTCGCTCGAGTTATCGAGTGGACAAGATTTGACCTCCCCCCACTTTCGAGCCCCACCCCTCAAAATCTATTGCCTCAAATTTCAATTTTTTTTCGCAGAATAGTAGTCCTACAAAATATCTTTCAACGTAAGAAAGATATAACCACTCAAAAATCGAAAAATCTTCAAAAGGCGGAAATACATACATACATACATACATACATACATACATACATACATACATACACCCTTACATACATGCACCCTTACATACATACATACAACATGAATTTGAATAGCATATATTTTCGTGATCTACGACCCGTGATCGGTGCTCTTCACAATGTCTCAGGTCTGGGTCCGACATCATGGGAGAATGCAATAGTGTATTTCCTTCGGAAAATACACTAAAAATGATAACCTTTTCCCCCTGATACTTTCAAAAAAGGGGAAAATCGCTAACTTAACCATAAAATTGAGTACTTTGCTATGAAATCAGACATTTGGTTGTGATGAAAATCAGGAATATGACTATACGACTGAATGACTGTGGGAGACAAAATGCTGCAAATGTTTAGCATTTTAGAGCTTTTTGAAGCCATGCTTTTTTTCAGGCGAAGGAATAAAGGAATGAAGGAATAAAATATAGAGAAATTGCTAATAAAAGAAAATCTTTAATATGCACCGAATTTAGAACAATTTTCGAATTTTTTTTATGCTAATCACTTGAGGTGAATTAGGACCCCTCCTAACAACTTATGCTCCTCTCTGATTAAGCTAAAATACTGATCCTGAGTGTACTCATAAATTTTGCTAAGAAGATCTTTAAAACTTTAAAAACTCAAAGCCAAATTTTTTATTTGATATTTTGAGCCCAAGTGTTGGCATTAATTGAGATTTCACCTCATAGATTTAAAATATTTTAGTTATTAAGAATCTTTTCATTGCTTTCTAAATTTTTAGAGCAACCTGATGAAAAGGAAGGCAGCTGTGCTTCAAATTTCATAGTAATCCCCCACCCCTATGAAGGAGAGACAGCGACAACAACAGACCGGTTTTGCGGCAATACTTTCACCCAAATTAAAAGTAAGTAGAATATTCTATTCAACATCAAGTAATCAATGAGAAAACTTATTTCTTTGACTGATCTTTTGAAAATTCATAAATTAACTTTTGGTGAAAATTCTACACCTTAACTTCTCTTCCTAACAAAAGTTTTCTCGCAAAAAGAGTAATATCTTAGTGGAAATTATTTTATGAAAAAATTAGCGCTTTTCTCCTAAAGTTTTCCCTCCTTTCTTTTCCAGCATTATCTAAACCGTTTGTGCTGACAGTCGTGACGGCTAAAACAGCGAGTTCTGAAGAAACGTGGACGGACAGTGGTTTCAAACTTAATTTTAGGCTATTATCATGTAAGTGCTAAAAGGTTGAAAAAAATACAAAATCAAGTGTTCCTTCCACAAAAGTTGCCCTTCAAACTTGCCTGCCTCTGAATGGATTGGAGGACTGCTCGTGAAATTAATCAGTGTCTTTATGATAATCCCTCAAAATTGTGCGTACATGACAGTGAACAAAGAGAAAGTATAAGTGGTGGAAGCTAGTTAGGGATTTGTTTTCACTGACATCACTTCAGTGAAAACGAGTACAAAAAGAGGCTCGGCAGAGAAGAGCCACTCAGCAAATCATCAAATCTGTTGTGCTCAGCAAGTTAAAAGGTGCGCATGTTGGCGATTGATGTTAGCTCAACAAACTGTCGAAAGAACTCCATCAGATTTTCGCTGACAAATTGTTATGCTGTCTTCGGTTGCCAACTTGCGCACGCCTTATGAGCTGTATCTTAAGGTTCTTCTTTTAATTTGAAACTAAATATCATTCAAGAAGACTACCTAAGTTATGAAATGACACACAAAAAGGTTATCAAACCCTAACTGGCTATCATTTTCTGCATTCTTCAATGAGCAAGAAATACTTCAGAAAGTTAAAAAATCTAAGCAAGTGAATTAAAATTCATACTTTATGACAGAATCCTATTGATAACATTTCCTTAGAAAAATAGGGCTCAAAATAGATAAAAAACGCTCAAAATGAGCTTAAAATACCTTTTACGATCTGGTCAGACTTGCGGTGGCTTGATTCATTCCCAGATGATTGTTGACGGCTATTTTCATGTCTTGATACCATTGCTCCACCGATGATGAGTTATTCATCAAGTCTTTAAAAGCGTCACACCCTTCAATGCTGCTGAGGACTCCATACACTGCCAAGTCGCCCAGATTAGGAACATTACCGCCAATGAACTTCGTTCCTTGTTTTCTTATGTTGTTAACATAGTATTTGCACTCATCATAAAGTGACTCTCGAACATCATCTTTCAAAGCATGTCTAAAAAAAAAAAAAAAAACAAACAAATTTAGAAGGTAATGAAATGTACAAGAGTGCGATAAAAATTTTAAAAAAGCTAAATTAAAGATTTGGACTTTTTTTCTGCTTCAATGGACTTTATTGACCTGTCACAATTCCTTACATCTTTTACGAGCGTCTTATTAGACTTCTTTTTCCTTTTGGAAATGGAGGCATACAGTTTTTTATTTCAAGCTCCATTGAAATCCAAACATATTAGTTTTAAAAAAAGAGACCAAAAGTTGGATAAAATTCCAGAAAAAACAAAATAATGGGACAGTGGCGAGGAATTTTTGGACGGTTTTAAAGTATACCTAGTTTCACTTTTGTAAAATACCACAAAAAACCAAAAAGTGCATTGGAAAGTTAGAATAATCAAGAGCAAAGAGAGGCTGATCAAAATGCAACCAGAATCAAAGGCTAATACTGTAATTGACCTAGCAAGGCAATACCTGAGGAAGGGATCAACTAATCTGAAAACGCTGTTTCTAACCTAGCTACAATATCACAGCCTGCCAGGAATATTGTTTCAAAAGACTAAATGAGTCCCATTTTTGGCATTTTCAAAACGGTTTTTTTTGCCATTAGAGGTGAAAAACTTCTTGGAGGCTTGATTTACTCCGTACTTTCAGAGAATGAATTAAAAAATGGTATGCTTACTGACTTATTTCCTAAGTTATAAAAAAAAATTGAACTTTCAAAATTTTCCTCGCCTTTTTTTAAACATAAAAGTGTATTTGAAATTTTAAGCGACACAGGCTTAAAGTTTTTATTAACAAAAATTATTCTTCCATCTCGACAGTTTTTAATTTAAAAAGTGCAAATATTTGTACTTATTAGCTGTAGAGAAGTGTCTGATAGTGTTCCTAGATTGCTGTAGATATAGATCTTGCAAAAAAATATTGTGAAAATGAACAAAACAATGGTGTAAGTTGGCAATCACATAACTCCGTTTGCAACGTCGCAGACTTCCTGTCATACTTTATTTTTTAAACGGAAAACTACTCAATGGCAATTCTTTAAAACTGCCATAATTTTTCTTCTCTGTGCAAAGAAAATTCTGCAAAAACTTCAAGGAATGATGTCAATTTGTTCTCCTTTAAAAAAATAACATAGAGACGGAGATTTCCAGACACCGCAAACGAGATATGTGATTGTGGACTTTCGCTGTCAAAAAACAAGAAGAATAGGCTTACTTTTTCTTGAGACTTTTTCCAATGAAATACATTACAAAAGCTCCGACATAAATGATAAGATACCGCTCCCAGGTAGAGAAATTCTTTTCCCATTCTCCAGCTTCTGAGAACCAGTTAAAGGCTTGCAGAGCCTCGTCCTTTGACCGATAAACATTTGGTGATAGAGTATGCACCAAAACTTCATCAGCCCACTGCCTCCACTTTCTTTCTTCCCTGAAAAAAAATAACAAAAAATTTGGGATATTAGAAATCCAAGAATAAAGAATACAATTTTATCTGGCATGAGATAGCACACTGCAATATCTTAAAAGAGTTATTACTTTGATTGAAAATTCAGACAAGGAAAAAAAAAATAGAAAGAAAAAGTCAGGATTGGAGCTAACACATTAATGACACTGATGGATGGGACTATCAGTAGCATTGCATTTTCTGCCAAAAAAGCAACAAAATGGGCCTGTTGCAAACTTTTGCTAGAGCAAAACTAAGAGTTGTTTCATATAGATAATGCCTCCAAAATCACGATGAGCGCATCGGCAAACTCTGAAATGCACTCATAACTTCACAATCTGCGTAAGAAATTTGCGGTTTTTTGAGCTTCCTGCTTCAAAAACGATACTACCGCACAGGTGAACATTTTGTAAGAGGAGTCGTTCCATCGCCGGCAATAATCATCATAGCCGACGCCAATCCGCCAAAACACGTTTGATGGGACGTGATAACACCTGAACTGGATTAGACCAGATAACAATCGGCGTGTTTTAACGTTCATGTTTTCCACGCCCGCATTGATTGACCTTGAACTCTCCTCGAATTACGCGCAAAACTGCGCGCAAGTGTCGGCCATGATGAATATCGCCGACGATGGAGCGACTCCTCTAACAAAATGTTCACCTGTGCCGTAGTATCGTTTTTGAAGCGGGAAGCTTAAAAAAACGCAAATTTCTTACGCAGATTGTGAAGTTATGAGTGCATTTCAGACTTTGCCGAGGCGCTCATCGTGATTTTTGAGGCATTATCTACAAGAAACAACTCTTATTTTTGCTCTAGCAAAAGTTTGCAACAGGCCCATTCTACTGTATTAGATTCTCCGTTTTTAGAATTAAAAAGAGCATACAAATAGTCTCAAGGTATTCTTTGAGTAAATCCTTTTAGTATTTTAGTTAATTGATTAGTCTACATTGATGCATAACTCAGTTGCCCTGGCAGCTGCGTATCGACGGTGTAAGTCGGCAATCACATAACTTGTTTGCGGTGTCTGAAAATCTCCGCCTCCATGTAATTTTTTTAAAGGAGAACAAGTTGACGTCATTCCGTGAAGTTTTTGTAGAATTTTCTTGGCACAGAGAAGAAAAATCGCGGCAGCTTTAAAGAATTGCCGTTGAGTAGTTTTCCGTTGAAAAAATAAAGTATGACAGGAAGTCTGCGACGTCGCAAACCGAGTTATGTGATTGCCAACTTACACCGTTGATACATGAATAACTTCAATTCTATTTCATTCTATTCTACGAGATGAGATGGTCTAGTATTTGAGGTTCATCATTTTGAGATAGAAAAAAATGCAAGAGCGAAATAAAAAGTCATACTTACGCATCTATATCGTTATCAGAATCTTTTTTGTTTTTATGGTTCATGACAAAATACTTGTTCATTACATCGCTCTTTACTTTACCATCTAAATCTTTGAATTTTATCGATGGATAAAAATTCACTATATCTGAGAGGTTGGCATTCTTGTCCAACATTAGGGTTCTGAGAGCAGAGATAATCATTGAGCTGTCATTCAGTTGCTGAAAAATGTGGAGAACATTTTGAAATATTAGAACCATCTGATCTTAGAAAAAGTAAAAAGTAAAGAAAAAGAAGCAAGAGATAAAAAACAATTAATTGAGGGAAACAAGAACTGATTTCTGATCAAATACAATTACTATTTTTGAGTGAAAAAAGAATGTTATAGGTATATCGATTTTAGAAAATTTTGGCACATGAAAGAATAAATCTTTCGCTAAAGGAAGCAAGAGTCACTTTTACTCTATTCATTGAAACTGTAGCAAATACCTAGGGCGGTTTATGACTAAATTAGCCAACTTAGGGCAGCACAAATGGAACAAAAACATTGTAACACCAATCGGATCTCTCTGGTTGATTACTGTGATTTGGGAGGCAAATATTCCTTCAAAGTGAATATCAAGATATGTCTCACTCCTCATGGTTGACAAAAATGACCAATTATTATTGTTTAAGTAATTGATTTTCCCTTTAGTTGTATGCTTTCAAAGTTCGCTACCAAGGTTTTTTTCAGGTGAGCTGTGCTGATAGGAAACATTAACCTGATGTACCTTCTGAGCAATTTTTTAGATTTTTATGATAATTTCTGATCATTTTCCGGTTCTAAAAAATTTCCTTGTGATAACGATTGATTCATAGGGGTTTTTTTGAGGAGTTTCCCATATGTAAATCTCCATCAAAATTTAGATAAAAATGGGAAATTAAAATGCACCATTAGATACCTGGTAACCGCCATCAACTTGTACAAGGATTATCGGCACTTTTTTGTACTTTGACCACTTTATCTGCTGCCGTAAGACTGGATTCACTTCGACTATATCATACGAGACTCCGTAGAAATCTAGAAAAGCACGAACCTTACAGCAAAATGGGCATGTAGGATATTGGAAAAGGATTACTTTAGGACCAGTCTCATGTCCTGGAACTTCAATCTGAAACAAAAGAGGATAACAGATTTTATGATTATATGTATGTATGAGCCGCTTTTACGGCGCGCTAGGGCGCTCTGCGACGCCTATTCTCCACAGGAATCTGTCATGGTAGAGATCCTCCGGAAGCTGGCATCTCTCCATCTCTTCATGGATGCCCTCTACCCACCGTTTGGCTGGACGCCCTCTCCGTCGCCTACCTGGGGGGACCCACTCCAACACCTTCTTCGGCAACCTGGTATCAGCCATTCTCTGCACATGCCCATACCATACCAATTGCTTGGTCATGATATCGTGCACAATCGTCCCCTCAACGCCCATTATCTCTCGGACACGTTCATTCCTGACACGTTCTCTCCTCGAGATTCCAGCCGATCTTCGCCAGAAATCCATCTCGGTCGCCTTGAGCATTTCTTGGGTCCGCTTCTTCAACTGCCACACTTCACTGCCATAGGTGATAATAGGCTTGACAACCGAGTTATAAATCCTCTTCTTGTTGTCTTTGGAAATCCTTTGGTCCCAAAGGATCCCATTAAGCATGGCGATGGCTTTCCTTCCTAGAAGATTACGGTCCCGAATGGCCTGATCCAGCTTCCCATCCGAAGTCAGGTTCACCCCCAGGTACTTGTATTGTTCGCAACTCTCTATATGTTGACCATCCTCCAGGACTATGCTTTGCTGAGCACCTCCGACTGACATCTTTTTTGTCTTACGAACACTAACCTCGAGGCCCCATTTGCGGTACTCCTCCACCAACTTCCGGGTCATGATATCCGGGTTCTTTTATGATTATCATTCAGAATAAATTTATTTACTAGAAGATGTAGGTAGGTGCTTAAATGTTTTGAAACTTTTCTCTGAGGCATCCTCAGGCATTTGCTTGAAGGAGGAGGTAACAGCCATCCAAGTAAGTTCACACCTACGTTTGAATAAATGTATCTTGAAATTCATGAAGAATATTGATGGCTAGACTTGGATACAAAATATATTGGTTTGCAATATTGCTGACTTCTCATTGTATTTAATTTTATACCTAGTGAGAAAACTGATCATCGTTACATCCGGAGGATTTCCATGGATTTTTGTCCCTTCGAGAAGAAAATGCTACAAAAATTTCAAGGAATACAAAATAAAATTGAAATACAATTTTGGAACATTGTAATCAAGATACATGGTTTCTGAGCAAAGCCATTGATATTCTTATTTTAAATTATGCCAAACCCCCGTTAATCTCTGGTTCTGGCTTTTAACTATGAAAAAGTCAACTCAATCTAAGAAGGAAAGTGCATCAAAATGCGCTCCAATTATATTAGAAAGGTAACTCGGTAAATACAAAAAGATGATGGGCCATTACCGAGATCAAAAAAAAAAAAAAAAAAAATTATGAGAAATATTTTTTGCTTACTTGTAGAAAAATGAAATCTTATGATTTCATTTTTCAAATTAAATGGCGTATGCCAATAGTTCAATGAACGTTTTCGATGAAACAATGGATGAATTCATGAAACAAAATGGGATCATTGAAGAGAAAAGGTACCACAGTGCTGAAAGAATGGCAAGACTTTTCATTACGACAGTATCCTTGTTTCTACCTCAGACTTGGGAAACATTTTGGGTAAATATGTACATAAAACTCATGAATACAGCTTATTATTTCATTGATAGTCAACAGTTTTATTTCTTTTCATCAAATACTTAAGTGCATCATTCTATGCGTTGATTAAGTACAAACACCGTAACAGCGAGAGCTTATTCATTCAAGAGTAAAAAATTCAAGTTTTATTTGTGGCCATTCTTCAGTGATGCCATCTGAATGCATGTTATAAGCTGTTGAGTATTACTGATCTTGACATAATAGTATTTCAACATACGATCAGCAAAATCTACTAGTATAAAATCTCGCAAATACTTTCCACCCTTCTTCCTTTAAGTTATAGGGGTGGTTGCAATGGAAGCAGCAAACCTCGTATTACAGCTGTATCGTATGTATTCATGCAAGTATTAGACGTAGTGGCTTTGCTTGGAGAATACAATATTTTAAATTTAGAGCAGCGATTATACCGATTAATTTCTGCTGGGCTGGGGCTGTCCAGAGTCAGAACTCTGGTTGCTGTCTCACCGAGAGTCAAATAGAAAAACAAAACTACACTATAAGGCTCCAAAGTTTACCTTCTTTGATGCTGGCACATCTGGTAAGGTTGGTAAGATTTCATAGGTCGACTCTGCTTTATTGGGGACTGGTGCCGGATCCGGAGCCTTGTAATAGGCATAATATCCTCCAATTAGAGTTCCGAAGGCAGCACTGTACCCGATGACTGACTTCCAGCTCGTTTTGGGTTTTGGATCTTTGAAAGCTGTAGAATAGCCGCAAAAACGATCAAAAATTATTCTTTTAGGATGGGCGGTGAGTCCTGAATCACCACCCCGAATTGACTTTTGAATCACACTTCTCACAGCTCGGTAAAATGCCATTACGCATTCCCTTGGAGGATGATTTATCACTTTAACTTACACAATATAAATTTAAAAGAAACTGAAGATTTCACTGCAGTTAGAGGTAGAAATAAATTAATCGCGACGAAATTAGCGCCGATCACGCAATTTCACATGTGATTTGAGGTTACGCGATTTGGAAAAGGTAAACATGCATTTAGTTCCTATTTTCAACACTATAAGCGCTAGTTCCGAATAAATAAATACATAACCTCAAATAGATAGTCAAAAATTCAAAAAACAACAAACACACGTGTTCACAGTTTCTTTCGTGGTTTTGACTTTAATTTTGATCGAATTTATGTTTTTGCTCGACAGCCTCATTTCATCAGTTTCCTATCAGTAAAGATGGGAACACTCATCAATGTGAAAGAAGTGTAAGTACCTCTCAGATAATTGACTATGCTAAGTACTCAATGAACGATGACGGCAGGGCTCAATCTTTTTGGAGTAATATTTTACTGTTCTCTCGATTGCCACAGTATCGAAGGCTGTACTTAGTTTAGAAATAGGCCGCAGCAGATACTAATGAACCTCTCTGTTGGCTGGTCCCTTGCAGTCTTGACAAACAGCTACCTCAAATATGGAAAATATATGGAAATGCAACTTCACTTAACCTAAGGACTTCTGATCGCCAGTCATGAGGCAACCAAGTATCATTTGATTTTGTGCCCAAGAATGTACAAGAAGACACAGTAGGTAAAATCTGTAGTGCATTGTTAACGAATCGATGGATCTGATTTTGATGATTTAGAAGCTTCATTCTACTAAATTGACAGAAACATGCCTGACTGCAGACTACTGAATTTTAAGCGGCTCATTTGAATTCAATGTATTTTCTCAGATATTTCATTCACCTCACCACACCCGCAATGTAGGCACTCTTAAGTAGTTAGTGTAGTGCAGGCTCGCAATTCCGCCCTCCACCTAGAGTGTTCTGTAATTTGAGAATGCTCCCTTGGATTTTTCTTGAGAGCTCAAATAAGTAATATTGTTCGTTTTACTTTTTCTGCCTTTTAGATTCAAACCTGACAAGGTCCATGAAGCCTTCTTTACTGGAGGAAATGTTGCAGTAAGTTATTTTTCATCTTTTTATCTATCTCCAGTTAGAATCATTTTTGGTCAATGAAACTTTTGGAGACCCGCCCAAGACAAATAACCAATAAAATTTTTAAAAAACTCACTTGCACGTAAAATATTGATTTGCATGCTGGAAAAACGCGTCCTTAAATAAATATTGTACGTGCTAGTGAGTTTTTTTTTTTAATTTTATTGAATGTCACTACTTACTTGTAGACTACGAACTTGTAGGACATTTCAGTCGCCTCTGGAATACTCAAGGAGTGTATCTCACATTTAGTCTGTGAAAGCCTTAATGAAAACTGTCGGCAAAATATGCAAATGTTTGGTGCACATCCCAGCAGATGCTGACTTGGGTCCTCAAAGAAATGATGGGAAGATGTGGGTTAATTTAATCCATTTAGCAATATGCGTTGTTGTGAGCTCCGACAAACTGTCGTCACCAGTTGAAAACACCCTCTGCCTCTAGATCTCTCAGAAAGTCTCATACTCAAGGAGTGAAAAAAATAGTTAGCTGACCATATAATGGTGACGTGGGCTTCTAAATGACATTATCTAGTAATTTTTGTCGTGTGAATCAAGTTTCATGTATACTTTTGAATAGGATCCTGGTATTACTATTAGAATGCTTCAAATCGAGTCTTGTTTAGCGATCCATTGTTGCAATGAGTCTAATAAAGTTTTCTAATAAATTTTCCTTCTCTTGCTTTTTTTTGTATTTATTTATGTAATTTTGTCTTTTTTCAGTGGACTAAAGATGGTCAGGAGCTTCTATGTCAGTGTACTGCGGTTGTTAAAGTTCTCAATGTAGAGACCGGCAAAGTTACAACAACTGTTCCAAAATTGTCTGAAGAAGAGGCTGCAAACGAGGAAGATGCAGACACAATTTTAACATTTACGCTTAGTGAGGATGACAAATTCATTGTTACCGCCCATAAAAGTAGTCTTCTAAAATTGTGGAATTGGAAAGGTACTCATCTGATACATATTAGTTTGTAAACGAAAAAGAAAGCAAAATTATCTTTCATTTTGTAAATTTTTTAATAGCTGCAAAATAGTATCGTTAAGGAATCTTTTCATCGGAGATCTTTTCATTATCATCCATCCATTTTATTATTGTCATGAAAAACTGGAATATGCTGTTAAAATGCTTTAGCTTGGATATTATCCAATGGAAGAAAGTCATAAGTTTTGAAGTATCAACATTTTTTAACTGCTTTTGGAGTGTATGCAGCCTGCTTCATCCTCCTGTATTTGTAATTCTATATTCCTCACAATTTTTTCTGGCCTTGTTTTAAATTAAACATCTCTGTCTATTGAGCAGCAAATCCTTCACATTGAATATTCACCTCTTCTTTTTTTTAAAACAAACCGATTATTTTTCATCGCTCTATACATGTTTTCATCTCTTTTTCCCATTTTGGATTTTGTGTAGAGGAGAAGTTAGAAAAAGTTTGGAAAAGTATCCATAAAGGTCCTGTCATCAAACTAGCTTTCAATTCCGATGGGAGCGTTCTGGCAAGTGGAGGAAGTGATACAAGCATCAAGATATGGAACATGAAGTTTCAATCCTGCACCAACAGTCTGAAAGGCTTGCAAGGCGTAACAAGGTATGTTTGCCATATTTTTCCTGTCAAGAAGAGATCAAACATCCAGGAAATGCCCTAACATGCTTAATGGCTTGTTTGCTCATCTGTGCCAATTTTGAATATGAAAATAATCAAACAATTTGGGACAAGCATGGAAACTGGGCACTCGTCAAATCTTGTTAATTTTTTACAATGTTTTTTACAACCTTCTTATGTACACTTTCTTGCATCTTAACCAGCAACCTAACCATGTCTTCTTGCCTAAACTAAAATAAAAGTACTGAAAAATTCCTTTTTCACCTCTTTTTTTAAGTTTAGCACATAACAAGTTTCTTCATTTTGCTCATATTGTTCCAAAAATCATAAAGAACTTCGCATAACAAAAATTTGACCTGGCCCAAATTCCTTTGATTTTCGTGTTTCATCTTTTTTTAATAAAATTTGGTTAAGGCCTCTAAAGCCTTCAAAGAGGCTTCCATGATGTTTTGGACTACCCTTGATTTTCGCAAAAAAAGTCAACACACCGCAGTGATTGAGGTTTTGAGGATTTTGAAGTTTTTTCTTGTGCCTTTTTCACTCTAAAATTTGCGTTTGCTTTCAGTGTTCTATGTTTCTACGATTCACCGAGCGGTGCCAAGAAAGTCATCGGTGCTGCTGATGACCCAGAAATTCATATTTGGGACCTAGGATTTGACGATTCAGTTGTCAATTTAAAGGGTCATTTCAGTAAAGTGACAGGCGTTGTTGTCTGTAAGGAGACCAATCAGTTAATAAGGTTTGTCCATCATGGTATATTTATTTAAATTATTTACTTCTTTAGAGCTAGTAATGGTTGGCAGTCAAAGTTTAGAAGTCACAATGTGATTAATTTCATACCAAAGTGTGAGAAGAGAATACATTTTGTTAATGAAGCGTACTTTATAAGTTCTGATTTTGAATTTATTTGGTAACCACTCTATAATTCAAAAATTGCTATTTTAAAATCCTGTTAATTCAAGGTGAACTAAAATCCCTTGAAATCTTACTGCACTTTACTGCATTTGATTCAAAGTTTTGCAATTAATTCTCTATTTAGTCTAGATTCTTCTTCAAAATTCATATTTTACAAAATTAACAGATGTCTCTTTCTTTTTTTTCCTTAGTTGTAGTCGTGATAAAGTTATGATTGTTTGGGACTTGAAATCATATACTCAAATTCTAACAATACCAGTTTACGAAAGCTTAGAGGCACTCCTTCTTTTACCGAAGAAATTAATGTTACAAGATTCAAAAAAGTCCTCGGGTGTTCACATTGGATATGGTGGAGAAAAAGGTGTTGTGTTTTTACTTCATACTACAATACTTCATTTATAATATTGGCAAAAAAGCATAACTGTATTTGTGACTTTTGAAAGGTTTTGCCAAATATTGAAATATATTATTATAGTGTTTTACTTGATTTCCTTTTCAATACGTTGGCTTCTTTAAAAATACAGCAGATGATCTGCCATCTTGATTCTTTCATCTAGTTTAAATGCCGAAATTAAAATGGCCAATCTTCAATTCTTTCTCGAAATTTTCCCAACCACTTTAATATAGACTTAATTTTAAGAGAGGTCCATGGACCCAAGCAAATCAAGTTGCTAATGATGTTAGTAAATAATTTTTTCTTAGGAAGACAATTGTTTGTTTCAAGCTTTGAATTGCACCCTCCCCGTCGCATACTTACTAAGTATGTGGCAAAAATGTTGTTTTATTGCTCAAGGATGAAACAATACCGTGGCAAAATATCATCTTTTACATTCTGATTTAAAAGCAGACAATCAGCAAATCTTCCAGAAACTTCAGTCGCATTTGTAATTTTTTATTTTCCATCAAATTTCAGGAAATCCATTGATTTTTCCGTTTCATATTTCAGAGAGCAATAATTTCTCCTACTTATATTTTCTGAAATTTCAGGTCCAGGGTCTTGTTCTTTCATCAAGAAGTTTTGACCTCTGATTGGACCTGTCTACAAATGCACCCTTACTTTTCAAAATAAAATCATCAAAAATCATCTCAAAATGCATAACATCTTTATTTTCCTCATCTAGGTTTCAAATGCTCCAAGGTATCAGATTGTGAAGAAAACGAATACACTCTCAAGCCAATCAATCACTCTTAATCAATTTAAGTTTGTCAAAGCAAATTGTAAAAATCGCTGTGATTTCAGTTCATTTTGTAATTTTCAGAGGTAACTTCAAGTGTCTTATTTTTCAGGGCTTTTCAAGGTCAGAAATGTGAGTAAAAATACAGAGGTGTTCTCTGACTCCAAGGAGACTGCCACTCCTATTAGTCAATTACTGTTCAATCAGGCAACGGACATGGTTGCTGTAGTCTCTGCAGACCAAAATATAACGTTGCGTAAAATCGGAGAGTCCTTTGAAACATACAAACAGGTAATATTTTAGTGTAATTCTTATTTAGATTAATTTTTAGGGTTATTCCAGCAGCGGATGCATCATTTTATTTTATGTCCAACTGCCTCTAACCAGATGATGAGAATTCTGTAGGTCTAGTGTCCCATGTAAAAGCCCTTTAAGGTCAGCTTGGCCCAAAAGACAAGAGGGGAGGAGCTCGTTCATCTTCTCTCATTGCCTGAAATGCAGGGAAAAAATCACCTGCAAGAAAGCAGAAATACTAGGCAAATACAGCAAATAACTAATGGTGTATGGGCCGTTGTACCTCCTTTCTGCAGTATTGTTTAGTAGTTGTTGCTTGAAGGCAAATTCAGGGATTTTCTCAATATTTCTGCCCATCAAAAGGAAAGAGACCTTAGCGCACAGAGATAGAAGTTTCTTAAGGTGGGGCAGAGGACCGAATTCGTGTTGTCAACAAAAATCGATCTTCACGCGGTTTTATAAAGAATACATTGGGCCCAATTTAGCTCACTTTTGTGCCAACACATTTGTATTTCAATCAACAGTTTTCAGCCTCAAACATGACTGATAATGATTATAAATTATGCATCTTTAAAACTGCGTTTTTTAAACTTAAACTTCACCAAATTGCAACCTCGGTTCTTTGTTACGTTTTGGGCAACTTTTTGCTGCAAAGATAGTTGTCAAACACTCTTCCAAACAGCAAAACCAATAGTTCACTTTGAGTTTTTCTGCTCTTCAGTTTCTGTTCTTCAGTTTCTGTTCCTGTGAATTGTTCCAGTTTTTAAAAATAATTTCAAGTCATGACATCTTTGGAATTTTACTTTGACTGAGGACGAAAGTCTATTTATTGATATGTACTTGATTATATGGACCTGCTGCACTGCTTCAATGAGCCATTTATAAATTTATAAGTACCCATTAATCAATACACATGTTCTCTTTGTTCACAGTATGTTGGATTTTGCGATGAAATTTTAGATGTAGCTTTTATCGGTAACGATTCTCACATAGTGGTGGCAACCAATAGTCCGGACGTGAAAGTGTACAATGTTGAAACTTTTCATTGCCAGCTTATGCATGGTCACACAGATACTGTGTTAACGGTGTGCGCTACTACTGCCAACCGAAATTTATTCGCATCCAGCAGTAAGGTAAGCATCTGCATGTAAATTTTTTATGTGCAATAGGTGATACTATTAATGGGTCCAAGATTTGTGAAATTATTAATGATTGACAATTGCAGCTGCTTCTGATTTAACAAACTATTTTCCTGTTAAATCATTGATTCTGATTCCTTCTTTATGACAACATTACGGGGGTCTGGAAAACCAGGAAAGTCAGGGAATTTGAAGATGAAGATATGGCAACCCTGCATTTTTGCCGTCTATTTGTTTTGTAGAAACCATACCTACTAAGTTTTTATTGCTCCCCTGTAAAGTTCTTGAACTTCTTTTGCCTGATTTTTTCCATTTTCCCTGTTACTTTTTTATTTTTTTATGAGCAATTTTTGCCATTTCCTTCTTGTGTCTGGACATCTCTCTACTTTTCCTGAACCTCTCTAATCCTCTATATTTCTTTATTCTTCTCAACCTTTCTTATTTTCCCAGTATTCTGTAAGTTTTCTCAATTTCCCCTGATATTTTCCGGATGCTCTCCTGCCAACCCCCCTCCCTCCGCGTCTGTGTGTCCTGCTCTGCTCTGCCCTAATTTTCCTGTTTCTAAGGTATTTCTTGATTAGGGATGAACCAGAAGTAATGAACTAGCAAGTAAACCTAACTAAAGGTAGCCTTAATTTTTTCCGCAGTATATTTCATTAGATACTAGCTACAATTAAAATCCAGAAAATAGTTTTTCTAAATAAAAATTAAAAAAACTATGTTTTCTTCCTGTTTACAGGACAAGAGCGTACGAGTGTGGTACATGTTTAGCAGCGAGAACATTCAGTGCGTTTGCGTCGGTTCACGTCACACGGACTCTGTGAGCACTATCGCTCTTAGTCGTCTGCCGAAGTCCAAGGATGTGTTTTTAGTTTCTGCCGGTGTAGATATGTGTATCAAAGTTTGGTCTCTGCCAAGGAAATTCAAACCAGGTTAGAGCAGTGAGTCACTCATTAAATGTCTTTCAACTCGATAACTAAAGATTCATTTTGTAGTTGAGTCAATACCAGAATACATCTTAGCATTCAAAAGGGCTCCGACAAGTCTTGAAAATGGAGCAAAGTTCAAAAATCAGGAAAAAATCTTTACCTAAAAATGTCAGTGAAATGAAGGAAGTGTCCAATAAAAATTAAGAAAAGTTGAAGAATTTTAGGAAAACAGCAAAATGTCTGAAAAATCAGAAAAATTCCGAGAGAAATTGAGTTCTTAGGAAACTCACTGTGTGGTCATCATGTTTTTACCAGCGTCAAATTTTATAATCTAATATCATATTCTCTTCATAATTTAACTTTTTTTCAGAGGATGATCAGCAAATTCTCAATGTGAAACTAACAGAATTAGCTCATCAGAAGGAAATCAACTCCGTCTCCATATCTCCAAACGATAAAATTATTGCTTCTGCCTCTCAAGATAAAACTGCAAAGGTAATTTAAATTACTATCCACCTAATAATTTAGTTTTAAGATCTGTCAAGAAAGACAACTCTAGCTGCTTTATCTCCTAAGTTTCCTTTTGTGTCAAATCAATGATTTTGAAAAAGTATAGTCATGACAAGAAGTATAGTCATTAAAGAAAAATAGAACAGAAGGTTTGAATGAACAATTAATGCAAGAGATGCACCTCTCTCTATCGATACAGATAGGTTACTGATAGAAAAAGTAAGAAGACTTTTGTCTTTTTGGGCTACGGAAAATTCTGAAAATCATTTTCCGTGTTAACTGTTACCATGTTGAAATTGTTAACTTTTTGTAATGCAATGCCTTTTGGTTTCCAGCTCTGGTCTGCAGATAAACTGAGTCTTATTGGCGTTCTGAAAGGTCACCGTCGAGGAATATGGCACGTTTGCTTCTCTACAGATGATCAGGTTGTTGCAACCTCATCTGCCGACGCTACAATTAAACTCTGGGCCATTTCTGATCTCAGTTGCGTTAAGGTATTTTATTTTTAATTCTAAACCATCGCTCCATGTGGCTGTTCTGCTTTAATTTATTTGCACTTGTTTTTTTTTAATTGATTGCCCTTTCAGCTTGTAAATTTATGTTTGATTGTCATAGAAGATTTTTTTTTCACTGATAACTTCTTCATCAAAATATAATCATTTAGCACAAATAAGTCCAAAGGTATTGTCTGTTTCTGAATCATTTTTATGAAACCAATCATTGCATTTGGAATCGAATCATTTAAAAAAATTGTGATATTATTTTTTTCTGTAAATGTCTAAAATTTTTAGCTTTCCCATCGTCAGTTTGTGTCTCTTTTTAGCTTGCGCTATGTATAGATGATGGAAAATTGATTTTGTTTCGCTAGTAAACATATGATCAAATTCAAATTAATTAAATTTTTGATTCATACACCTGAGAGATAGAGAAAGAAAGCAAAAAATAAATTTATCTTGTCATTTTATCGGTCAATTATTTTCAGTTGTAATATATCATCAGGCAATTTAAATGGGCCTGTTGCAAACTTTTGCTAGAGCAAAAATAAGAGTTGTTTCTTATAGATAATGCCTCAAAAATCACGATGAGCGCATCGGCAAACTCTGAAATGCACTCATAACTTCACAATCTGCGTAAGAAATTTGCGTTTTTTTAAGCTTCCCGCTTCAAAAACGATACTACGGCATAGGTGAACATTTTGTTAGAGGAGTCGCTCCATCGTCGGCGATATTCATCATGGCCGACGCTTGCACGCAGTTCCGCGCGTAATTCAAGGAGAGTTCAAGGTCAATCAATTCGGGCGTGGAAAATATGAACGTTAACACACCGATTGTTATCTGGTCTAATCCAGTTCAGGTGTTATCTCGTCCCATCAAACGTGTTTTGGTGGATTGGCGTCGGCTATGATGATTATTGCCGACAATGGAACGACTCCTCTTACAAAATGTTCACCTGTGCCGTAGTATCGTTTTTGAAGCGGGAAGCTCAAAAAACCGCAAATTTCTTACGCAGTTTGTGAAGTTATGAGTGCATTTCAGAGTTTGCCGATGCGCTCATCGTGATTTTTGAGGCATTATCTATAAGAAACAACTCTTAGTTTTGCTCTAGCAAAAGTTTGCAACAGGCCCATTATCTAAAAAAATTATAAAACGAAGTAAAATCCATCATTTTTACCTCATTTCAGACTCTAGAAAGTCATGACTCATCAGTTATGAAGTGTATTTTCATCAATCGAGGAACTCAGATAGCCAGTATAGGAGGAGACGGTCTTTTAAAATTGTGGCTTGTCAAGTCAGGAGAGTGCATCGGCACATTTGACAAACATTCGTCCAAAATTTGGGCTTTAGCTGGTATGTATTGATTTCTCTCAATTTTTTGTTTTTCCCATCTGTTCAAACCATGTAGGTGTAACCGTGTTCTTTGTATCAGTGCTTAGCATCTCGGCCAAAACCTGTACGTTAAAGCGAAATCCTGCAGTTATAGTTAAGCACAATAAAATTTTCGGACATTTTAATCTCTAAAGTATCCAAGCTAGATATATTAGAAGTCAAAATTGTTCACTTTTTTTAAATTTATTTTTCTATACATGACAGTATATAATGAATTAAAGGAACGGAAACCCAGACAAATTTGAAAAGTTCTTTACTGAAATCTGGAGATTATCCTTCTTACCTCCTCACTGCGCAACAGTTATGTCACCTGTAGCAAGTACATCATTACATGTATTGTTACTTTATTACTTAGCCAAAGAAGATGGGGAGCAACTACTAACTGGAGGTTCTGACTCAAGACTTGTGGAATGGAATGACCATACAGAAGAGGCCAAACGTGAAGCTGCCGAACGGTTGCATGAAAAAATTGCTCAAGAGCAGCAGCTGGCCAACTTGATTCAGTCAAATCATTTACTTCCTGCCTTACAATTGGCTTTATCTTTAGAACGGCCTCTCCAAGTTTTAAAAATTATTGAAAGTAAGCTTTCTTTTTCTCTTATCTTTTTTTCTACTTACTTTATTGTATACTACTCCTTAAAAAGGTCTCTGGAATCAAATTTTGTTTCTATGTGAGAATGAATTTTTTTAAGATTCAAATTAATTTTTGTTTGTTTTCGCTTTCTAAAGTTTAAACCTACCAGAATGAGTATTGAGTTTCCTTGAGCTGGTTCTTCACTCGTAATTGCATTCAGAAGAGATACAAATGTAGTCATTACACACCTACACTCCATGCTTTTAATTTGAACAATTTTCCACCAATAAGTAATGTAAAGAAATATATTTTTTGTGTGTGTATGTAAAAAATGATTTCCGCCATGGGTAGCTTGTTAAGTAATGAAATTGGTTAAATTTGATTTTTTCATCCATCGTCTACTGTAGCTACAATGTCTTCTGATTATATCGACAGTAGGATTTCAATAGGTAATCATTGGAAAAGCATTTCTAACACGGTGCTCAACCATTTTGATCTCTATTTTATTTTTTCAAAACATACTTTTAATGCTCGAAATTTTTACAAATAATGCTGTTTCTCAGAAATGACATGGATTAGTTTTGAAAGTGAAGAATGAAGTGTGATGAAAGAAATTCGCAATGGAAGAAAATTGTGTACACTGTTTTTAGAAAGCTGTGTTTTTAATCTAATAGATTTTCTGTTGATTACGTAACCAAGAAATTGCTTCTTTTTTTGGCGAACATGATTTTTGCCTCGAATAGCCTGTAAAGTCTTCAACTTGGTCCAGTCTAAATTTTAATCCTATCGATTGGTATGTCTGTTCCTCAGAGGTGTTCCCCAAAGGAAAGGATCATCTTCAATCTACAGTCGAGATGCTAACTGACGATGAGAAGCTTTCGTTACTTAAATGTGCCGTAGCTTGGAATACAAACAGTAAAAATGCTTATGCTGCTCAGGTAAGCTAGAAATCACATATGAAAATCAATAAGTATTTGTAACAATTTTAAAAGCATCACCTTGAGTAATTTTCCGTTTGGACCTACTGATGTTTTATCGTCTTTGAAGTTTACAAAAATACCGAAAATTCTCTGAACTATGAGCTTCCAAACCTTTTGACAGCATATTTCTGAAAACTCAATATGTGTAACACTAAGTTGTCATCAAGAACCTCTAAGTTAGAAATCATGCATGGGAAATTTTATGATTTTGTCATGTAAACGTTGCAATAAACTACTCTATATAAAGTTTGCACAAAAATGGAAGAGAAAAAAAAGTTATTGAGTTTTGAAAATTGTCTAGATAATGAGGCTGTATTTCATGTCTCTGTTTCTTTCCATTTTTTTCTTCTTTTTTTTTGTCTGAAAGTGAAAAATCAGCTTTTTAGATTCCAAATTTGGTGGTTTCAGCTAATAATTTCAATTCTTCTGGACGAAGTTGGGAAAGAGAAGTTAGCACTGCCGCAATCCACTTTAGAAGGTCTTCTTCCCTACACGGAGAGGCATTTCAAGAGGATAGACCAACTGACCATGCAACTTAACCTTCTTCAATATACAATCAACCTAATGCAACCTCATGCAAAAGAAGAACCTTGAGTAGACTGTAAGGAAGATAAGAGGAAATTTTATTATGTCTTGTTGGAAGCTTAAAAGAAATTGATACGGCAGTGTCATCGTTTAATTTTTGATACAAACAATCTGTTTTTAGAATGATGATTTTGAATAAATGTTATCATTATTTATTCAATTGATGTCGTACCTTTAATCTTCTATTCCCAGAGAGTTTTGTCCTAATGCAAGTTTGTCCACAATCACTATATAATAGGTTACACGGGTTTAGGGACATTCTTACCCTATGCTTTTTCCAGCCGTATTACATGTACTCTGTGGCGTATGACTGTGGTTTTTTGCCTTGGCTATATGTATTCCGACTTACAATCATTTTGATGCCAAGTCCCCCAAAAGTTACTCTGTTGATGTCATTTGCGGTTATTTGGCTTAGTCGTCCCATTTCAAACAACACTAAGGAATGTTGTAGCTCCGCTCAAGAATTAAACCTTCGCAAAAATTCGAGGCTTTGCAAAATGGCCCTGGTAGCCCTTTCTATGTGGGGTTTGTCATGACTGTCAAGTAACTGATTTATTGCTAACCTCAGACTCTGTACTTTATCGCCAACTTTGAATTTCTGACAAAAACATATCATAGATCTTGATGCATTGACAATGGAAGTAAAAAAAAAAAAAACGGAGTTATCTTTATTGCGAAAAAAAAAAAAAACAGGAAAAACTGTCAATAATTGTGGACTTTTGTAGCAAATAGAAGAAGATTATTTCAATTTTTAATAATGTTAAATTTTTCCTGCTTTTAGTTTTGATAATCACTCTGTTTTAATTTAAAAATTCATCTATGACTCTCATATTACTTTCATTCTCTACCAGAAAAGTGAGATATATTATAAATTGGTCTCGTTTAAACTGATTTGCTGAAGTAATGGTGATGAGAAGCCATTTTCTGAAATTTCAACAGAAGCATTTTTTCCACTTTGAAATTTCGGAGGAAAATTCAAGTGACACAAAAATACCAAATTCGTACCTTGTTGAATCCTTTCATTAAAAAAAGCGAACACAGAGAACTCTCCTAACTTTTATTGAAAAAAATATTTTATCGGGAGAGACGAGGCAACGTTGGAATGCTCATACGTCGCCGGAACACAATAGGGGCCCCTTAAGCCCCATTATTCGATGCCGCGATTATTCTACGGCGAGTTCGAATAATCGCGCCCAACATGGTGCGACCGGTGCAGCGTTGAACGCATATTAGCGCCTGCAAGAGTGTAGAAATACTTCACGCATTGCGCCAAATAGTGTGGCCGGCGTGACAGCCATATCAGCGCCTACAAGACTGCCTGAATACTTCTCGCATTGCGCCAAAAGCAGCGTGAAACGCTTATCAGCGCTTGCATTGCTTGCACAGCACGGTGCGCTTATTAATCAAATATCAAAATTTGCCAGTTTTAGTTGCAAATTTCATGGCAACTTTGATCATTGGCTCGTTCTGCTATGCTTTGTTGTCTCGCAATTTTGATGTTTTCAGTCATGGAGAATCCATTGTAAATTGGTAAACTAGAACTACATGTCATCATTCTTGATTCTCTGCTTCGGTTTTTACCATAATTAATGGGAAAATATTTACCTTCGTAATGATTCAGAAATTTGGATGATATTTAATTTTTTTTTGTCTCATAAAAAAAAAAAAAAAAAAAAAAAAAAAAAAAAGATTGAATGAAAATATCGTGTCGAAATTTTCGATGCTTTTATTCGAAATCATTCAGGGAAATTATAAATATGTGTAGATTTTTAAAAATATTGATTAAAAATAAAACATTAAAGTGGTGCATAACATTGCAAGCGGAGATGAATATGTTTTCTTTCGCGTGCATCTGTCAGCATTTGAATCCATTCATCTCCTAAATATCTTGAACATGGCTGTCATAAGATTTAATCATGTAATTTTTTCAGTGGTTGGCGGCCCCGCACAATAGATCGAGTCAGAGAGGTCGGACATGCAATTTTTGACTAAAACAGCGAATTTTGATGTTTATTTTGTCAAATTTTAAATTTTAAGGGGTGCCTCTAGAAGAAAATTTCATGAGGAAACCAATGGAACCACTTTTTGAATCTCAAAATTTTGTATAATCGGACTTAAAAGCTTTTAAAGTTTCCAAATTTTGTCCGACCTCTCCCATTGACTCGATCCACTGTGCCCAGCAGCAGCCACGGGCCCCTAGTATATTCTAATCTACCAACTCAAGATAACTTTTTGATGGGTTACTTCCAACCTATCGGTGTTTTCGGTGAGAAATAAGAGTTATAGGTAAATAACAGGGAGGGCACAATTCATTTATAAAAACTGTATTTCACACATATGACATGGAGCAATGATAAAAAATGCTAACAATGAACATATACTACATTATTCAAATCATAATATAAATGCAGTTGAAAAGCATATTTGTTTTCATGACAAGCATGAGGGAAGATTTAACTATTAAAGGCAGCTCGGGAATAAGGTACTTCCTCTTGTACCTACCAATGCAAAGTACCTTACTGTATCAGAACTTTCATCAATCTCACATAAAGGAATCAAATTGTAAAAGCTTTCATGATCAATTTCATAAAAATTAAAGGGTTACCTACCCTCAAAGGTGGGAACTTTGAGTCAAAAGTGTTTCTGCAAAATTTCAGCAAGCCAACATGTTCATAATTTGAGGGAAAAAAGAACAATTAGTTTTTTTCAAGCACCCAGTCCCAATTTTTAGGACGCAGCTTATTTCTGAAATTGAATGATTAATTACGATTATGATTATTATTGCCAATTTTCCGATAAACTAGATTTTCCTTTTCACAAAGGTGTGGAAGAAAAACTACTACCTGCACAATATTTCCCTTTAAATGTAATACAGATTCTGAGAAAATCTTAACCTTTCGACAAAATTACTATTTTTAAGACAAAAATGAACAGATATGCATATGGCAGTAGCCTTTTAGAGACAACAAGAACAATGTCTTAATTCCATCACAACTTCGACTTTCAAAAGATTTAACTATGTACTAAAAATCACAAAAATCTTAAAATTTGTAAATCAATTAACACAAACATAGTGGTCAATTTAATAGTAAGTAAGGCAGTTCTTTTTTGTATTTCATAAGTTCAAAGCCGAGTAGTTGCTAAAGTATAAAATTATCCTAAGACAAGAAAACCTACAATCGTAACAAATAGGTGTGTAAAAAATAAACGAAGCCGTCATATTCAGCCGAATAAAATATGTATGGTCTCCAGTTCCTAAAAGCACAACTATTGTTTCAGATCCAAATTAATTACATACAGCAATGTTTGCAAGGCCATTGAGAGATCGAACAAAAACGTGGATATTATAGGTGTAGTAAATTAAGATTAAAATACAGGTAAAGCTATGAAAGTCTTCATTTAAAATTGTATAAAAGAGTCGAAAAAAAGTTAGAAGTATTGAAAGAGTAATAATATCATGGACCCAATCAAAGCACATGTCCGTTCAGATTAAGTCTTTGCAAATCTGATTGATTTTTTTCTTGATTTAAAAAATAAGGAGGTATTCCCATTTATTCAAAGTGTAAACATTTAGAAATGTTCCTCATTTTGGTTTATGCAAATAAGAAGAAGGAAAGCGGCATATAAAAGAGGCTTCGTAGTAATGATCGAATTTGAATGTTTAAGTTGATTTAAGTAACAGAAAAATAACTTTAAGTCAATCATAAAGTGAATGCATTTTGATTTTTCTGTAATATCATTACTTCAGTTTCAATAAGTTTTGTATTTTTTTGTTTTTAACGGCACCAATATTTTTTTTCACAAAATGTCAATGAAGAATGACCAAAATTTTCCAAGCCTTCACATAAAGCAAGCGCTTGAAGAATGTCGAGAGTACTATACATCGGACAAAGTTCAATAATGTCTTTTATAGTGCCCTGTAGGTCAAGACACAAAAAGGAGGAAGAGAACTACATATCAGGTTGTCATTTTAAAATTCATGGATTGCTGTTTTAACGATTAAATTGTTAAAAACTATGTCCGTCATGTTTCATATGTACATTTTACAGTGGTGGAAAGCTAATTTAATCACAAAGGTGGTTAAATTAGCATTTTTTTATTGTAAAATCCACATTGAAACATGTCGGATGCTTTTTTAATCACAGAATTGTTAAATCAGGAATTTAATATTTTCCGTGTTTTACTGTTGGCTACTGTACAACGGTGCCGGTTGCTGCATGTATACATCGAACACAAGATGCCGATGAGAACCATTTAAATCAAGTGATCTGGGTCGTGCCGTTTGTCAGGGAGGGGTGAGGGACCAGCCGCCGCTCGATGTTGAGGCAGTCCAGAACGGCGGCTCCCAATGCACTGCGCCGATTGAGCATGGAAGTGACTAGAGACCATTTGTTGGATTTCGGGTCATAGCGTTCTACTGTGTTCAGGCTGGAGCTGCCATCGTTACCGCCAAGAGCGAGTAATGTACCATCGGTGACTATTACTTCGTGAGTTGACCTGAAATTTTGAAAAAATTATCATGAATTTCGGACAAGTATGAAACAATGTTTGATCATCAATAGTCCACCAAATTCTAACCCTAGTGGCAATTACCTTTTAAAAAAAGTTTCAAAAACTCTTAAAAAACTGTTAAAACATTTGTAATCTGAAGCCTTTTTTGACTATTCTTTAAAATTAAAATTTACGATCAGTGAAATTTAAGTAAAATTTAGGTAAAATTTACGAGCAGTAAAATTTAAGTAAAATTTACGAGCAATAAAATTTAAGGAAAAAATGTTTAAAAAAACTCTCAAAAATATCATTGCAGTTTTTTAACAATTTTTTCAAAAGTTTTAGTGTTGAAAAATTACAGTTGATATTTTAAGAGTTTTTGTGACACTTTTACCTAAATTGTACCACTCATAAATTTTAATTTAATAAATAGCCAGAGAGGGTTTTCTGATACGAACATTTTAATAATTTTTTTAAGATTCGTCTTTTTGAAACTTACAGATTTTTTAAAAGTTTTTTCAACAATCGTTGGTGCCAGGAAAGCACCGACCACAAATCCAAAAGTCATCTAATAAGTTGCACTGTAACTTTAATGTAAGGGTACAAAAATTTCCCGCTCATGCGATTATGATTGCGTTGCTGCTTGTGCGAAAAATGGGAAGGCCAGCTCGCAATAGCGTCTATTTGTGTGTATTTTTGTAGAATCGCGGTAAAATTTGTGTGTATTTCGCAAAATCACAGTAATTTGTGAATGTAAAGCATTGAAATAAACAACATAGCTTTGGAAATTTTTGGGGGAAATGAGTCATTAAAACAGGAGACCAGTACAAAAAATGAAGAAGCTGAGAACTTCATGTGCCCATGCTTCAGAGAAGAAAAATACATTAGCTGAATCTGATTCATAAATACGTTTAATTTATATAGAAAATTATTAAACGCCGTTAAAAAAGCACTAATATCCTGTATCAAAAATTAGAAGAATGACGACTAAGTTCCGTGGTTACATTCTGTTAAAGTCTTCTCTGAATTTGCTGAAATTAACATTTATTTGATGAAACTGCTTACCTGCGTGAGTGCATGCATGCAATAGGCTCCCATGCATTCCTTCTGATGTTAAAGCGTTCTCCACTGCCCATGCACATGGTCCCATCGTTTCCACCGATACAGTACAACATTCCATCAAGAGCTGCCACACCGCAACTGCTTCTGCGACTGCTCATCGAGGGCACACTAAACCACCGTCCAACTCGGGGGTCAAACCGCTCCACACTCGCTTGGTAATTGGTCGAGTCAAATCCACCAAGAGCGTAGATACAATTTTCTGTTCAGACAAAAGATACAGATAATTTTCTCTTGAGTATCGAAAAAATACTACTATCTTAGGCAATAATATATGTAATTACTGTCAGTGTCAAATCCAATTGATAGAGCCACACATTTTTTCTGGTGTAAAAAGCTGCAAGGGTACATATTTTTCAAACCTTCGAAGAGAGGTTGCCATTGTTTTATTAAAGGAAAAATGTTGAATCAACAAGTTTTTTTGCCCAAAAACTACACTTAAGTTTTAATTTTTTCTCGAAAGGTTCAGAAAATATCCAGAGAAAAAGCACAGTGGTCTAGAAAGAACAGAAGGAACTTTCTGCTATGTGAATTTAATTTTTCCTACTAAAATATACTGAGATTTTTACTGACTACAAGTTTTTCCTGACAACACACATTGGTCACATGACTCAAAAATTAAATAAGAAAATTAAGCTACACACTGATTAATGCTAAGGATTTTTATGATCTGATATTCTCAGAGGGGGTGGTAGGAGAGTTGAGGTGCAGATCAAGATGGTTTTTCTGCATTCCCCATAATAATTATAGTTTTTTCTTAAAACGAATGTTCTGAAGCATACTTACCGACAACAGCTACCCGACAATATCTTCTTCGGGTTGTCATGGGAGGGCATGAAGTCCAGACTCCAGTTAAAGGATCATACCGTTCCATACTACTAAGACATGAAGCACCATCATAACCTCCGCAAGTATAGATTAGACCATCAAAACTGCAAATTCCTGTGGTTAAAAGAGAAGATTTCTTCAGACAACATGCAATGAGCAATGTTACAATAGTATTCATTTAATTGAACCTGATTTACTCACTCAAAGTTCAGTACCTACGATGTGGTAAATAATCCAGACTGGTAGTTCAATAACTTATTGTTTTATAATTTCGATCAAAAAAAGCTTCGACCTTGTAGACTTTGTAAAATATACCATGTTAAATTGAAAAGTCAACTTTAATCGGGCACCTCATGTTGGAAAGATATTGCACACACTGGGACACTGAGACATATGGTCAGACTCCGTTGCACAAGGTGCATGGGGTCCCAATCAGACATTGACTAGTCTGCTGAAGACACTTTTCCGATTCTGATTGCTTTTCAAAGTTCGACAAGTTTTGCGGTACAGTTCTCCATTCAATTGAGTATTTAAAACTTTTGGAATGATTTTTAAGAGAGTGAAAATTAGACCAAAAAAATTAGAAAAAAAATCAACACTTTTTAAAATATCTTTGATGATAGAACTCACCCAAACAGCTTCTTTTGGTTCCCATGGGAGTGATTGAGGTCCATTTGTTCACTAAAGGATTGTAACTTTCTGCGGTTGCTAGATCACAAGCTCCATCATATCTAGAAGGAAAGGATGAGAAGATAAAATTTAATAATTCTATGTATCGGTTATGAATCAAGAATAAAGCCCTTAAAACTAACTAAGAAAAGAAGATCATAATACCTCGGCTGCTTTGGTTTTATCTTAATAATTTAAGGATTTAATTTGATAATGTAATGATTTTTGACTTTTAAAAATTAATTACACTTAAAGATGTATCCTGTCAAGTTTAGATGCAGGGTTGGTTTCCTGATCAGAGTTATACCTATTTTTTATGGAGTCTCTTTCAGTTGATGGCGGTGTAACTGATCAGTAGAGGTCCAATATGCAAGGAGATATTTGATCAAATTCTTGTTCGGGGTGATCAGAGTTGATTATCAATATAAGTGTTCCTTGTCCTGCCTGAGAAATTACTTTGGTGAGACTTCACAAAGAAGTTGTTAGAAATCTCCACTTCTTTCATTCTCAATATTAATGGACACTTAATTGCATCTTCTGATGGCAATAAACAAAAGTATCGCTAGATATCATCACATAATACTCAATTTCTACAGCTAAAGGGAGCAAAGACCTTTGGAAAAACAGAACTTACCCTCCAACAACATAGAGGAGTTTTCCTAAGGCAGTGACTCCACTTCTACTTCTCCGGAAGATCATCGGAGCAATTTGTAACCACCTATCTGTGCGAGGATTGTAAACTTCACACTCACTATGAATTGCGAATAAGCTTCCACCCCCTAGAATAATGAGAAGAAACACAATTTTGAAACAGCACCATACACAACAAATTTCCATATTTCTACTTTTGAAAAATATAGATTTATTTTATATACAAGTATGGTTTACATCTATATTTCCAATGAGTATCTTCTCCAAGAACTCTACATTTCAGTCAAAAATATTAATAGGAAAAACAATCCTCAGTTAATCAAATTGTAAATTCTGACGTCACAAGGTTTTGACCTGCATTGCAATTTTTCTTTCAACATTCTCCTTTAACTTTAAATATTAACCAAATCACAGTGATATACTTAAAATTGTTTCTTTGATTTATATTTAACAAAAGGCAAAGTAAAAATACATTTTGAAGTTTTAGATAATTGCTTGGCATAGGTACCTAAATAGAAAAAAACCTTACCGATTGCAAAAATATAAGGCTGCATGCCTTCGGGTCTCCTTTCCTCTGTCCTGTGATTTGCAAGAGAGGATCGCTGTTCTGGTAGTAAGTGGTACTTCATGGCCTCTAGTAGTAACTCCAAACACTCAGGATTTTCTCTGACCAGTGGCTCTGAGTCGACTGCGGTCATGAGGAAATCACGAGAGACCAATGGTAACCTTACATGTTTCATCAACTGTGAAAATAAATAAAGAGATTTTTTTTTTACAATTTTGGCTTCAGAAAATTGATTCGCTGTTAAAATAGCCTTTTGAAATAGTGTCATTTTATTACATTTTTGAGACATAACAAGGTGATTGAATGAGAAAATAGTCTCTGGTAACACTCGTACCTACTGTTGTTAAGGTAGACTTTCTGAGCGGTCTTGTTTCATGGTAAAAGAACCTGTATTAAAATTCCGTAAATTTTTTGAGAAAAAAGATTCAACGTTAGCTAATTTTGTTAAAATTAAATTTGAAATAATGTAAAATCAATAATTAATTAAACACTATGAAAAATTACCAAAATTAATTAATTTTCCACTAGAATATTTACGAGAACAGGTCGTTCTGAGTTGCACACACTTCAATTTCCTTATGTAATATTCTTCTCCTCTTGTATTAATTTGTAACGTTTATGATCGTTTTATAATTTCTTTTTAAAATAATCCCTAGCTTACCTTAGCAATACTAGGCAGTCTTTCAACAGGATCATGTTTTACCCAACTGAGAACAGCTAAAAATACCTTTTCTTCACACGCAATGTTTAACTGACTATTTGATATCAGTTCCTCAACCTGGAAAAAAAACCAAAAGAGATTTCATGTAGGGTTAGTGTAATTTCTATTTTGATTGGTCATAATTTTTGTGAACCTTCCTTAGTTTTATATGAAAGAAGAATATAACTTTCCGTCACAACTAGAACTTTGATTTCAAGATAAGTAGCTAACTTTTCGAGTTTTTAATCTAAGACACAGAAAAGACGAACGAATCCTCAAAAATTAAACCCTGACCTTTCATCATGGCAGCTTTGACTGCTCACATGTCTACTTGGCTATACCTTCTAACCCAAAATCGTGTAAGTATCTTCAATGGTAACTCTTAGATGCGTAGCTTTTGCTTAGCACAGTTGAACTAGCGTATTTCCGAAACGGTAAGTTCTGTAAAACTTTAGAAAAGGTCGAAAGTTCTTAATGTGTGGGTTTTCAAAACGCCTTCAATTGGAGTTGATACCACAAAATACACGGATGCGCGAATAGTTGCATCAATCACAGAGGCCTTCAGATGAAGGCTTATTGCTCATTGCTCTGAGGTTAACAATAAGATTGCACCCTTTGCTTAGCATTTTGAAAATTTGGAATTGTGCTACTAAGAACTATATGCGAATTGGTGAAATTAGAAGGAAATAGAAGTGATATAAAGCACACACTGTAGGTACAAAATTCCTTTTGATTTAATTTCTGTATACGTAGTTTTTTCTAGCGTGAATTAATTATAATTTCGTAGCGGAACTGCTTTTTTCGATAAAATTACATAAATCCAAGAGGTACCCCTTTTTTGATATGTGCGTGTGAGTGAACTGAAGAAGGTATCCGAGAGGAACACGTTTTTAGATAAGTATTGAATGGGGATAAACATGTATCATAACTAACATATCATGATTCTGAGGTTCATGAAGGACAATATTGCGATGCTTATTTTGAGTATCCAGGGTGTCTAGTTTTTTTCATATTGGAAAATCCTTATTTTCCCTGATTTTTGACTGCTAAATCCTGATTTCATAACTTTTCGAAATCCTGATTTTTTGCGGAGAAAAATTGGCGAATGTAACTTCACCAAAATAGCTCGATAAAAAAATCCGATCGGACGGCCGACTTTTCTCAAATCCTGATTTTACGACCGATTTTTCCTCAAATCCTGATGCTAGAAACCCTGTACTGATAAGTTCGAATTTTTATTCCAACGGTATCTGTTTTCAAACAATGACTCCACGTTTATTAAACACCCACATTTCTTGGATTTGATACCCCACCCTCGTAAAAAAAAAAAAAAAAAAAAAAAAAAAAAAAAAAAAAACAAACTCATACGGCGTCGAAACACGATAGGGACCTTTTAAGCCCCATTATTAGATGCCGCGATTATTATAACGCGAGTTTGAATAATCGCGCACAACACAGTGCGGCCGGTGCTGCGTTGAACGCACATTAGCGCCTGCAAGAGTGTCTGAATACTTCTCGCATTGCGCCAAATGCAGTGCAGTCGGTCAATGGAGATGTTGCATGTGTGAGGAATTTGCGATTTGGCTGTTGATTCATACGATATGTAAACGTTTGCGAGAAACACGATGGTGCCACTAGTTTTCTCTGAAATCAACTCCCAAGCTCAAAAAAAGCTCTCAAGTTGAGGCTAAAATGGAGGTCTACATCAAGACAAACTCTTCATGCAAAGATAGGGAGTAAATACATTGACAGAGCTGCCACTTTATTTGGGGACTCTAAAACTGAAAACACGGCATCACTGCTAATGTATTTGCTCACTATCTTTGCATGGAGAGTTTGTCTTGATGTCTCAGCATAGCGTGGGATATCCCCTCCGTTTATGCCTCAAATTACAAGCTTTTTTTGAGCTCGGAAGTTGATTTCAGAGAAAACCAGTGGCACCATCGTGTTTCTCGCAAAATTTGACATAAGAATCAACAGTCAAATCGCAAATTCCTCACACATGCAACATCTCCATTGAAAGTCACATACATGTATGTTTTTGTCGAGGAGAAAATCCATTAGACAAGCCGTTCCCACCCCCAAAGACACAACGGGAAAGAGCAAGCACGGAACTTTGCAAACATCAAGCAACGACGAGGTTCAAGAGAAGCGACGTAAAAACAACACCCCCGACGGATTGTTCCGCACGCTCTCTCGCCGACTTTTCCTTTTCTCTCCCGGTCCCGGTGGAGTAATGAGCGTTAAGGTACATTAAATCAAACGCTATTATTTTTAGACGCGCGGCGCCGCGCTCGCATTCAAATCTTGGCGCCGACCTACATAGCAGCGGCCGCAGGGACAGGGATGAAGGGATGCGCTCGCCAAATCCGCGATCGCGAGGGGTCGAAGCAGGGACACTGCAACGGACGATGAGCGGATTAGAAGGGACAGAGTCGGCGGCGCACAGTGGATCGATTCAATTGGAGAGGTCGGACATGAAATTTTTGACTAAAAACTGCAAATTTTGGTGTATATTTCGTCAAATTTTGAATTTCAAGGGGTGCCAATACTGCCGTGCTAAAGAAAACCGCCGCACAGTGGATCGAGTCAATAGGAGAGATAGGACAAAATTTGGAGACTTTAAACGCTAATAACTCCGTTTATTCAAACTTTGAGGTTCTAAAAGTGGCTTCATTGGTTTTCTGGTAAAATTTTATACTAGAGGCACTCCTTAACATTTAAAATGCGACGAAATAAACATCAAAATTTGCAGTTTTAGTCAAAAATTGCATGTCCGACCTCTCTGACTCGATCTATTGTGCGGGGGCCGCCAACCACTGAAAAAATTACACGATTAAATCTTATGACAGCCATGTTCAAGATATTTAGGAGATGAATGGATTCAAATGCTGACAGATGCACGCGAAAGAAAACATATTCATCTCCGCTTGCAATGTTATGCACCACTTTAATGTTTTATTTTTAATCAATATTTTTAAAAATCTACACATACTTATAATTTCCCTGAATGATTTCGAATAAAAGCATCGAAAATTTCGACACGATATTTTCATTCAATCTATTTTTTTTTTTTTTTAATGTAACATGAATTATGAATTTCAAGGGGTGCCAATACTGCCGTGCTAAAGAAAAACGCCGCACAGTGGATCGAGTCAATAGGAGAGATTGGGAAAAATTTGGAGACTTTAAACGCTAATAACTCCGTTTATTCAAACTTTGAGGTTCTAAAAGTGGCTTCATAGGTTTTCTGGTAAAATTTTCTACTAGAAGCACTCCTTAACATTTAAAATGCGACGAAATAAACATCAAAATTTGCAGTTTTAGTCAAAAATATCATGTCCGACCTCTCTAATTGACTCGATCCACTGTGCGCCGTATGAAACTTCTGATGTTGCCAAATTTATTTTAATAACCAACGAATTTACTGAGAAAATTCTGAATATTTTGCTTCCGATTTTTCGGACAATTTTGTTCCCAATTTAATCTTAAATATCGGGAAATTTCAAGGAAAAATACGCTTACCTTTTTAAAAATACATGATTTCCTCGGGGAAATCGGGCAACTCTCAAATGTTCATACGGCATTCTAATATCTTTGTAAACTTTTAGCAAAAATTTCAGTTGATACTCTTTTGCAACATTAAAAAGGCACTTTACCAACATTGCGATCCAAATACGGATGTTTCTGCCGAAACTGTATGGATAAAAAAAAAGGAAAAGAAATACATTCTTGATGACATAATACGATGGGAAAATGCGTCGGAAATTCTGAAAAGTAGGTTTTATGTCACCTAGATTGGAAAAAAATAAGAAAACGGGATTTGTGGATTCACCGTCAGTTCTTCAAATAGGAGAAAAGGTGGGCAAACCTTTGATTAAATAAAAATCGAAGGGGCACTCACTTGCGAGAAGGGAAGTAGTAAAAATTCTTCGGTGCCGACTACCTCTTGAAAATTTTGTAGAGCGTATCGGTGAGATCGTTTGTGCAGCTCTTTACACGCATGTACATCTGGAAAAGATCAAAAAAACCACACCAAAAATTAATAAATTGAATTGAAAATTCAGACTCTGAGTTTGAATTGGGACAAGAGTTTTTGTTTCCCATGCAGTCCTGGTCTGTGAAGCCCTGGATAGACGATCAAATTCCCGAACCAATTCTGATCAAAGTAGCATCAAAGTGTCGGGAGTCATCAGTCTCAAATTCATTAATTTGCTTCATTTTAAAATGGAAAACTTGGCAGAAATGTTTCCTGTGGCAGGAAAAGGTGAATGGTGGCACTCCATTCTGATCTTACTTTGAACAAATAAGTGCGGTCCGTCAAAATTTGATGGTAGATGGTGACCATCAGTCATCAGCATGTCTACTTTGATCGGAATTGGTTCGGAATTTGATCGTCTATTCAGGGCTTTATGTCATTGCTCCACGCAACGTTTCCTGCTGCATCATCAAACATGTTCATGGCTCTTAAAACAATTTTTATTTTAACTACTAAGAGTTAGATTTGAGGCTAATCGGCTTCAAAAACTTCAGAAATACCAAATCACATTGCTAGTTTTTGGGTGTTGAAATGATTCGTGGCTCGACAGATATATCGATGGCTATGGCACCGTGTTGATGCCGATGACTGCGAGCAACTATTTTAACTCCTAGGAGACCAAATTGCATAGTCAACGAATTGAAGGAGTTTTGAGTGAGTCCGATAAATCGTAACCCGGTAGACTTCGATAATCTGGCGTTGTTCCGAACAATTTATTACAACTATTTTAACTCCCGGGAGATACCGCGGAGAAATTGCATACCTAACGAATTGAAGGAATTTTGAGTGAATTCGATGAATCGCGACCGGGCAATCTCAAGTAACTATCGCAACAGCTCCTTAGAGATCAGACTGTGTACTCAGTCGAGAGTTAATAACGGTGCGCCATTTGCAAAATTCTCCTTACAATCGTGATGTTTTTGATCTTGAAAATAAAAGGCACACGCTAAAAGTGGTGATTGATTCAGTCCAGATTTTTAATATGTTTATGAACCTTTTAAAACTTTTCTGCTGCATTTTCTAAAATATTCAAGGCTCCCTAAACGCATGCCAATCAGCCAAATGGCTTTTTAGACTTTAAAAGGCACCTAGGGCACTATATTGGTGTTAACACAATTTTAATTACAAAAATCAATTATTCCTCAGACTCAAACAGCGGACCGAGTATTGAAATTGATAGACAAAGCTATATAGACAAAGAAGATAAAAGGAATACGGAGGGATCCTATTGGCGGTAGCGGGTCGTTGCAATGGACAGAAGAGGTAGGTAATAGACTAACGAACGGCAACTCGCGAGAGACCCTACGATTAATCTATCATTTACTTCCTTAGTCTGTAGGCGCACCACCAATTTCAACCAATAGGATCGCTTCAAACTCCCTATGTCTTCTTTGTCCGTCAATTTCGATAATCAGTCCGCAGTCCTAAAGCTGATCGTAACTCGTTGACTTTTTACCTTCACCTCAGAGCAATTTCACCTGCCTCATCGCCTATAAATGTAGCACCGTAGCAGCTCATGGTACACGACTTGTGTGTGAGCGGTATTGCCAATCTCACGATATAACTGGCACATACATCCCACTTATTTAATGGGAAAGTAAAGAATTCACGCTAAATACGGCAATCCGAGCTGCACGATTCAATCTCGACCGAATAATTCAATCGAGAAACGTGAGGGGATTAATTAAGCGACAAGTATTTTATCACGGAAACGATCCCTTAAATTTCACCCCGAGCGTGCTTCAAGGGTCCTCCCGATGGGTAGGGGGGGGGTGTCGTAATTTGGACACCACCTTTATCCCCCCCCCTCCTGCCCTAAATCTCCACGTGAAACAATCTTGTGGAAGCTCCGATCCCATTTGAGAAACCGTTCGGGAAGGATCAAAGAGAGGAATTTCCAAAGCTAACACTCCAGTTAAACTGGAGATGAGATTGCATCGCTTTGAATTGAAGGGGTTTCTGGATAACAAACTGGATGAAACCCCTTCAAGTGCTGAGATCAAAACGGTCTATGATGAAGGAGTCTGAGATATTGGCTGACGTCCGGATCAGTGGCGAGGCGTGGCTGATCGACTATCGATTTTTCCCGTTTACAGCTATGGCAAAGAATCAATTATTGAGATGTTCGTTGCGAACACCCTGTGTATCGATCTTTTTCCTTGGGTTTAAATGGCGGATCAATCGATATATCGCTATGGTCCGGATCATTTGATCCTGGATTATTGAGACTTTATTGCTCCTCCATCAATTGAGCCTTAGTCGTCCGACTTTATATTCACTCGTCAAATGCACGGGATAGGCTACGGATGTGAATTCAATAATCGGCTCGCCGAGATGAGATTGCAACGATAAGACTTTAAGTTGCGCTATTTTTAGTGGTTACGTTGTGTCAGCGTTGCTTTCTACCACCAAATCACTTCGGATTTCAAGAAAAGGTAACCTATTACACCTGCTCTGTAAGGGCCCCTGATGTGTTTTCGTAGTTTGCTTGAGATATTAATAAAAAATGGAAAATAATGCAAAAATGAATTACATATAGATAAGCGCGCTTAGGAAGATTTCCATGTAATTCAGATGATCGTTTCAATCTTAGTTGATCTTAGACAATTACATAAACATGTTGAAGACTTGAAGAGCTAAGTCAAACACTGTGATGTATTACCACTCTCAAATAAAATCTCAGCTCATTACATACTCAACGCGCTGAAGGCGTTTTATGCACGGAAGTAGATCACCCTGTTGAAGAACAACAGAAAAAAAATTGAATGAATCGCTCAATCCCTACTTCGTTCGTTCTCCAATAGGTTGCGCTCCTTGTGCACATAAAACGCCTTCAGAGAGTCGAGTATGTAATGAGCTGAAATCAGCACGCACAACATATTCGTAACAACAATTGCTGCAGACGAATTGCAGGGCGAATTGCTTTCGCGCATTGAACTCCTTTCTGCTAAGCACGGCTCAAACAGTCATACGGCGTTTTTCCCTACAGGGTTGCCACAGAATTAAGAAAATTTAATTCCCTGACATTTCCCTAACACATTTTGGTGAAATTCCCTGACAATTGAACAAATGTCAGATTGTTAAAAAGATACAAATAAAAGCTCGCTAGGTCGAACTACAGTTAAGATGAAATGCCGATCAAGTCGAATTTTTTTTCGGTAGTAGGTAGAAATAGTTTTCAGGCAAAATTTGTCGTTCGAAACTTCAAACCCACTCGAGAAAGCAAATAAATGTGACTTGACGATTTTCCCCTGACATTTCAAGGTTTTCCCTGACTTCCTAAAATTCCCTAACATTTCCCGGTTTCCCCGGAATTCCCTGACTGTGGCAACCCTGCTCTTCGCAGAACATGACTATGGAAGATGCCGTCCTGATCATCCCAAAAAAAAAACCAACGGTCACCTAATTGCCATTCTGCTTGCCATTGATGGAGGCCCAAGCGCCCTCCGTCGAGTTTTACGACGCAGCGCTAAAAGAATCCAACCCCACTTTTCATTTTCATTTTCACCAGGGTTCAATGTCAACCCGGCTCGGTAGCCGGGACCGCAAGCTTCCTTCACCGACCCCCGTCTCTCGAGCACCTGAGAGGCCGTTTATCCTGGGTTCCCGACGTCCATTAATCTTGCGCCGAAATGAAGTGCGAGGACCGGGATCAAGCGAGACAGTGTGTGCGAGAGAGAGGGTCCGGCGAGACGGGGGTGCGAGAGAGACGGAGCGCGAGCGGACGGAGGCGGGGGAGGGGTGGGCGT